ACTGCTGGTTCCTTGCCCTTCTGTGCAATAATGGCCCCTTCACTCCATCTCCTCCATCCATCTGCTCCCATGGTCACCCCCAGTACTGCACTGTTACCTGAAACAACTATTTCTGAAATAAATAATTGAGGCACTCCTCTCTCCATGTTCCTCCCGTGGCTACCCATGGACTTCAGTTTGCCTTTTCTCTGTGCTTCCTACTTTGCCCTGCTTTGATTCCATAGCCTGCCATTTCAATGCCACACTTGTTGAACTTAAGAATGCCTTTCCTTCTCTGTCTTTTCATAGAAACCATCTGGATCGTTCTTAATTGCGCCCAGACCTGAGTACTGGGGTAAAAAGTCCAAAGCAAACTGGCACCTCAGTATGTTATAATAATACTGGATTGTAGTTCCCAAGTTCCTGTCTTGGTAGTCAGTGATTGAAGTTAATAGTTAAAGCAAGCACAAAATGTATTGAAAGGATACCAAAGCACCCTAATGGGTGGGACTTAGTAAAAGAGCTAAGTCAAATAATGGCTGACGCCTAGGACATGATATAGGGCACTAACTTGCTTAGGTCCAACTAGTCTACCTTGAAACTGCATTTGTGATTGGTTGGCACCTAGTCATCTTCTCATTAAACCCAACCACCTGTCTGTCCCTCTCCTTATTGAAGTGGACATTCCAGAAGGGTCTGGTCAGTGCATTCTGGCCTTGGAAGTTTGCCCAACTCATCCTGGCTTTGGGGCTCATTATTCACATTGTGCAGCTGTATCTTATTTTGGTAAGGGGTTTGTTATTTCCCTGAGAAGCCTGTTGTTTTCCATGCCTCTTTAGATGTCTGCTTTTAAAGTGTCTCTCTCACTTAAAATGGAGTCACGTCTGCCATTGCTCCCCTTACAATAGAAGTTGCCACTTGGACAGGAGGTGTGACTCAGCAGTACAGTGCCTGTTTTGCAAGTGTGAAGCACTGATTTCAAACCTTAGTCTTCCCTGCACCCCCCCAAAAAAACAAAGTTGCCACTTGCTACTATTCCCCCTCCACTCTGCTCACTTCTGGATCACATGACAAGATTTTAAAACTGTATCACTGACTGCTCATTGGTATAAAACTGTTGTCACTTTGATTTTTTTTTTTCTTAATTGGCAGTACTGGAGTTTGAACTCAGAGCCTCACACTTGCCAGGCAGGTACTCTACCACTTGAGCCACTCTGCCAGGCCCATTTTGTGTTGGGTATTTTCTAAATAGGGTCTCCTGAACTATTTGCCCAGGCTGGCTTTGAACCACGATCCTCCTGCTCTTTCCTTCCTGAGTAGCATGAGGATTACAGGCATGAGCCACCAGCGCCTGGCTATCCCTTCCTCTTTAGCACATCTCCTGCTTTGAGACACTGCTGGCTGACTGACTTCCTGAGCTGCTTTTGCAGACTGGACTTCAACGCTCTGTGGGAGGCTCGTGCTTCACTTGGCTTCCATTCCCACCTGTGCCCAGGTGCAAATCTCCAGTCCTCACCTTTTCTCCAAGCCCCAGATGTGCACTTCCAACTGACACATGAGTTTTCATAGGGATATACCAAAGGCACTTCAAACTCACGATTTCCTCACTCCTGCCCCCAAACCTGTATTTGTCTAGTTGTCCCCATCTCAGTAGCACCAGCAGTCCAGTTGCTGAATACACCACATCCAATCCACTTCCAAGTTAATAGAATTTGTCTTCCAAAACTCTCCCTCTGCATGCTTTCCCTCCTCTCTTCTGTACTATGCCAATAGCCCTACACTGCTACAGTCACCTTACCATTTCCGTTTCTATACTAAGGCTAGAATCATCTAAAATGCAAAAAACAAAACTCAGCCAGGCACCGCTGGCTTACGCCTGTAATCCTAGGTACTCAGGAGCAGAGATCAGGAGGACTGAAGTTCCAAGCCAGACCAGGCAAATGGTTTGCAAGATCCTGTCTTGAAAAAAAACCCTTCACAAAAAAGGACCTGTAGAGTAGCTCAAGGTGTAGATCCTGAGTTCAAATCCAAGTACCACAAAAAAAAAAAAAAAACGCTTTTTGAGACAGAGTTCCACCATATAGCCCAGACTGACCTGGAACTTGCTGCGTAGCCCAAGATCCTCATCCCTCAGCTTCCCCAGTGCTGGGATTATAGACTTGTACCACCACACCCAACTTGCAAAGCCATCTTAAAAAAGTAACTTCCCAAAAAACAAACAAATAAATAAATAAATAACTTCCCATTGTTCACAGGATAAAACTCAAAATCTACCACAGCCAAATGTCCTGGCTCCAGCCTTTAACAGGTCCTTACACGTCTTTTGCTGAAAAGCACCAACTCCTTACTTGGTCTTACGAATTAATTAAAAACAGGAGAAAAGCTTGACATCCCTGCCTCCACTTTGCATCTGTCTCCTTTGCCCTGAGCCATTCTCTCCTGCAGCCACCTTGGGTTCCAACTTTATCAGGAGAGACAGAGGAAACTACCCCTGCAAAAAGAAACAGCAGGACACACCACCCACGAGGCAACAGTGACTCGCTTATCCTGACCAATGATGACAGCAATAACAACTTGTCTGGAACCCCTCTGAGGACAAGGACTGAGATAATGATCCACACACTGGGACCAGGACTGTTTAACTATGCATACCTTTTGTCCCCTCCCCTGATTCCCTGAAGATGACTGAAGATGAAGTAAGTGAACTGTTGCCCATGCAGCATGGTTGCCAGTGCCACACAATAAACCTCCTTTCTCCGTCCTTCACCATGTCTCCTTATTTGGCATATAGGGGTGAGTGGCCAAACCTGACAGGTAGAATTCCAGGAGTTTAGGCCTGAGGCCTAAAACTCTGATTTCAAGTGAAACCCTGCTTCACCAACATCCATTCAACAGACTTAACTTTCTTTGGCCATCTGATTCTTCTTCCAGTCTCCTGGGGACCTTGAAAATTGTTTCATCAACCTGGAATTCGCTTTCCCTCATCTCTAAAAACTCCACTTAAACGGAATGTGGCAGTACACACCTATAATCCTAGCTGCTCAAGAGAATGAAGTAGGGGTGGTGGAGTGGCTCAAGTGGTAGAATACCTGCCTAGCAATGGTGAGTTCCTGAGTTCAAACCCCAGTGCTACAAGAAAAAGAGAGAGGAGGATGTGAAAGCATGGGTTCAAGGTCATGCTGGGCTACATAGCAAGACCCTGTCTCAAAAACACAAGCAAAAACCTCCATTTTGATGGGAGCATTCCCAAGCCCCTCTCTTGGGGAGGTAACTGTTAGAAGCTCACATAGCACAGGGTCCTTTCACACATGGGCCTCAACATGCTTATTATCTCCTGATGAACATTTTTCTCATATAGGCTCACCTAGAACTGTTATGATCATTGCTTTATTCCCAGAAATTACCACTGAGCCCAACACATAGTAGGTCCCTACTAAATACTGAAAAATCATGAACAACCAACCTACTGTGCTGAAGTTCACCTGTGTAAAGCCCCCAGGTACAGCGGTGCATATCTATAATTCCAGCACTCAGGAGGCTGAGGCAGGAGGATCATGAGTTTGAGGCCAGTCGAAAAACAAGAAAAAAAAGTCACTTTCAAGGCTGGGGTTGTAGCTCAGAGGTAGATAATGTCTGCCTAACTTGAGAGAGCCCCTGGATTCCATCAGCACCACAAAAGGAAAACAAAAACAAACAAACAAAATTATCACTTTCCTAAGAAGAAAAATAGAAGGGGTGAGAAAGGACAGATGAGGGAAAATGAGAAGCAGGAGCCAGGAATTCAGAAATAAACACTATTAAGCCAGCACTATTTTCTTTGCTTTAAGCTTCTCATTCCCTCATTAAGCTGCAACATTAAAAAAAAAAAAAAGAGGCAGCTCTTATCCTCTGACCTTGCCCACTTGTCCAAGTAATTAATATACTCTGGGAACTAAGCAGTAATATCTTAAAGAAAGACACTTATCCTAAGGAAAAAAATTTGATCACAGAAGTGTTTGCAAAGGAAAATACTTAAGGATGGACACCTGTCTTGAAAGGAGCATCTGATAAAATTTATCCTTTGTTTAAAGGGATGCTGAAGACATCTATGTCATAATGACCCAAATTTAAAAAACAGACTAACCTTGATATCTCTGGGCCCAAATGATAAAAGTGTTAACAGCAGAACTGATTAAATGTATACCAAGTGTCCACAGCAAAGATTCATCGTAAAGAGAATATAAGCCAACCCCCTAACTCACTTTTTCACTATAAATACCCATGATATTAGAGCACTCATTCATTCCCTAAATCTAGCGGGGTGGAGAGGGGCGGTGTTGGGGTACTGGATGCAGAACATGCCCATCCAAGTGCTGTCTGGGCTGTGTACTATCTTTTCTTTACTAAGAAACTTTCTTGGTCTCTACCTCGATATGTACTAAAAAGAAAGAAAATTTTTAAAAAATTAAAGAGAAAAAGTTTTTGGTGGTTCCAAGGTTTGAATTCAGGGCCTTGCCCTTGTGCCACTTGAGCCATACCCCCAAACCCCTACCAATTTTTTGTGACGTCTCAAACTTGGCACCCAAGCATCAGAGACTTCCTCCCTGGAGCCTCACTGGTTCTAGCAAAGAATTAATATTTAAAAACTATAAACCGTCTTTAGACAATTTAGTATAGTTTAGCATAGTAACAGTTACGAGGGGCCCACTGTGTATACTTCAGCTAGCTCATTTACTCTCCTAAAAGCCAGACAAGGCAGGTTCCGATTATCATACCCTACTACACATCAGGAAACCAAAGCTCTGGGGAGTTCAAGTTCACAGTGCTAGCACACCGCTCCACAGGCGCTGTTCTACTGAAGTGGGGTCCAGGACTTCCGGATTATGCCTGGCCCCGCCCCTCGCCCAGACCCGCCCTCTAGCCACGCCCATCGCCCCGCCCCTGTTCGTTCCGGAGTCCGGGCCGCAGTGGAAGCTGAGCCTGCAGTGCGGGCCGTGGCCGCCGGGGGGCAGCCGCGCGGCTTGGGCCCCACCGCTCTGGGCCGCGCTCCTCGCTCGCCCTCCGACTCGGCTCGGGCTGCGAGCGGCCGCCCTGCCCGCGCCCAGAGCCGTCCCACCGGGCTCCTCGCTCCAGACCCAGCACCTCGGCTCCCCAGGGCAGGTCCGAGGCCGCAAGCAGCGCCGCGGGGTGTGGGGCGGACCCAGGAGATGAAATGACAACGTCAACCCTCCAGGTACCTCGCTCGGCACGGCCCGGTTGCGGAGGCCGAAGGCGGTGCGACAGGGCCTGCTGACCGCGGAGCTGGAGAGCGGGCGGCCTCCTCGAAGCCCCGGCCTCGCGGCCTCCGCTCGGCCGCCGCGGCCCGCCTCCGCCGTTTCTTTTTTCGAACACTGGGGGCTGAGGGGCGTCTTCACCCCCGTGCGCCTGGCCCTCCCGGCTGGTCGAGCCCAGAGGCCGCTACATGGAGCCGGCGGCGAGCTCGGCCTTGCCCTCTGGTCGCCGGGAGCGCGACGCTCGCTCCCTCCACCTGCCGCGGGCCCTGGCAGTCCCCCAGCCCCCTGCGAACTCCCTCTTCGGGGCCAGCGATCCTTCATTCATTCCCCAGGTCGAGCGGGGTGGTGCTGGGGTGACCCACCTGGATGCTGGACCGACCCATCCAAGTCAGATAACAAACACGCTCAAGCCTCAGCCCGAGTTTGAATCCCGGCTCTGCTGCTCACCAGCATGTGACCTTGGGATAGGCATTTGATCTTGGAATCTCCGATTTCCTGCCTTTAAAATGGGGCTATACCCTAGGGGTAGGGTTGTTGTGACATGGCTCTAGATTGAATAATTCAGCGAAAGCTTTCTTAACGAAGGGGCGTTATGTCCAAAGTGCTCAGTATGCCACCGCTTGGGGGAGTCAGGTAAGACTTCATGGAACAAGGAGCATTTGGCTAGAGCGTCAGAGGATGGGTAGCATTCAGATGCCTGGGAATGGAAGACGGCTTCAGGTGGAGGAACAGGCATGGAACAAATTGGGGTTACTGGGCAGGAATTAGATGGAGTCCAAAGCCATAGCAGTGAGCTAATCAGCCTGCAGATCCCATCTGCCTGGACACAATGTGGCCTGTGAGCTAAAAATGTTTTTTAGATTTTAAAACAGCTTTATTAGCCAAGCGCTGGTGGCTCACGCCTGTAATACTAGCTAATCAGGAGGCAGAGATCAGGAGGTCCGAGGTTCGAAGCCATACCCGGGCATTCGTGAGACCTTATCTCAAAAACACCCATTATAGCTGGTGGAATGGCTCAAGCAGTAGAGCACCTGCCTAGCAAGTGTGAGGCTTTGAGTTCAAACCCCAGTACCACCAAAAACAAACAAACAAAAAACAAAAAAAACACCCATTATAAAAAAGAGCTGGTGGAGTGGAGTGGAGTGGATAAAGGTGTAGGCCCTGAGTTTAAACCTCAGTATCACACACACACACACACACACAAAACCCCAGCTATTTATTAAAAGGTAACACACACCACACAATCTATCCATTTAAAGTATACCATTCAGTGCTTTTAGAATAATCACAGAGTTGTGCAGTCACTTTTTTTTTTTTTTTTTTTTTTTGGCAGCTCTTGGGGTTTCAACTCAGAACCTCACGTTTGCTTGGCAGGCACTCTTACTGCTTGAGCCACTCTGCCAGCCCTTTTCTGTAGTGTGTTTTTTTGAGACAGGGTCTCACAAACTGTTTGCCTGGGCTAGCTCTGAACCTCGATCCTCCTGATCTCTGCCTCCTGAGTAGCTAGAATTACAGGTGTAAGCCACTGGTGCCCAGCTATTCTGGGCATTTTATTTAAGTGTAATCATACAATATGTGTGTTGTAGGCCTCAGGCCTAAGCTTCTGAGTTTCTTAGGTCAGGTCTGGCCACTCACCCCAACATGCCAAATACAAAAGAAGAGTAATGGTGAAGGGCAGAGAAAGGGAGTTTATTATACCACCCAGGCAGCCATGGGAAGTGGAAAGGTAGCAGTGCAACTCATCTTCAGCCATCTTCTCCAGACAGACACTTGGCTTTTGGTGTAAACAGGAGGAAGAATCTGGGGTGGGAGGTGAGTTATGCATAATTATTCAACAGTCCCAGTCATAAGTATGTTCTGGTGGCAGGTAACAGTCACAGGTGGTCTGGCAGGTCACTGTCTCAGAATTGGTCACATGAGGCCTTGTTGGAATAGTCAGTTGACACAGGTAGTCCCATCTTTCCTGGATTTCAAGCTGGCTGCAAAGTGACTGCAGGAGAGAATGGCTCAGGGCAGAAGACACAGATACAAATTAGACAGGGATGCCAAGCTTTTCTCCTGTTTTTAGTTAACTTGTGTGCCCAAGTGAGGAGTCAGTACTTCTCAGAAAAAGCAGCTTTTAAGAACATTTTCATCACCCCTAAAAGAAACCCCACATACCCTTCACCATCACTTCCCAACCCTCTGTCCCTCCTAGCCGTGGGCAACCACTAATCCACTTTGTATCTCTATAGGTTTGCCTATTTTGGGCATTTTTCTTGTCTTTTTTGGGGGATCAATACTGGGGTTTCAACTCAGGGCCTCATATTTGCTAGGCAGGCACTCTTACTGCTTCAGCCTCTGCCATCTGTCTCACTTTGTGACTGCGTTCTTTGACTTAATGTCATAGGTTTCTTTCTTTTTAGTGGAACTGGGTTTGAACTCAGGGCCTCATGCTTGCCAGGCAGGCACTCTACCACTTGAGCCACTTCACCAGCCCTGTTTTGTGTTGAGTATTTTTCATATAGATCTTACTATTTGCCTGGCTTGGCAATTCTCCTGATCTCTGCCTCCCAGCCAGCTAGGATTATAGGCACCTGGCTCAGGCTTATTTTCATAACGTGAAAATAATTTGAAATTCAGATTTTGGTGCCTATAAATAAAGTTTTATTAGAACACATCCCAGCTCATTCATTTACATTATTGTCTATGGCTGTTTTTGTGCTACAAAAGCAGAGTTCAGTAGTTGCTACAGCCATTGTAGGACTGGCAAAACCTAAAGTATTTTCTGTCTGATCCTTTACAGAAAAAGTTCGTCCCTCTTTATACATCTTTGTTACCTTTTTCTTTCATCCTCAAATTTTGCCATAGGTGTTACTAGAGATGTGGCAGGGCCGGCAGTTTTATTTGTCGCCTTACCCTTGTGTTATACAAAGCTGTTTCTCTCCATTGAAATTAAGGCCTCCTGCATGTGATCCAACCTGCCAGAAAAAATCTAATGTACTCTTAGGTGAATTAGTGTCTAGGAGGGAGCCCTGATTTCTAATTTTGTTGTAGAGAAAGTATAAGCTATAATAGGAAGGAACAAGGGTTTTTGCTGGTTGAGATAAGGATAGCTATACAGGGCATTGACTCGCATTGATTTCCTGTGCATGTGTGTTACCTTCTAGGTTAGTTCTTTTTGATCTAACCTTTTCTCTAGTTCCTGGTCCCCTTTTCCTATTGGCCTCAGTTGCTTTTCAGGTATCTGCTTTAGCTTCTCTGCGTTAAGGGCAACAAATGCTAGCTAATTTTTTAGGTGTCTTACCTATCCTCACCCCTCCCTTGTGTGCTCTCGCTTTTATCATGTGCTCAAAGTCCAATCCCATTGTTGTGTTTGCCCTTGATCTAATGTCCACATATGAGGGAGAACATACGATTTTTGGTCTTTTGGGTCAGGCTAACCTCACTCAGAATGATGTTCTCCAATCCCATCCATTTACCAGCGAATGATAACATTTCGTTCTTCTTCATGGCTGCATAAAATTCCATTGTGTATAGATACCACATTTTCTTAATCCATTCGTCAGTGGTGGGGCATCTTGGCTGTTTCCATAACTTGGCTATTGTGAATAGTGCTGCAATAAACATGGGTGTGCAGGTGCCTCTGGAGTAACCTGTGTCACAGTCTTTTGGGTATATCCCCAAGAGTGGTATTGCTGGATCAAATGGTAGATCAATGTCTAGCTTTTTAAGTAGCCTCCAAATTTTTTTCCAGAGTGGTTGTACTAGTTTACATTCCTACCAGCAGTGTAAGAGGGTTCCTTTTTCCCTGCATCCTCGCCAACACCTGTTGTTGGTGGTGTTGCTAATGATGGCTATTCTAACGGGTGAGGTGGAATCTTAGTGTGGTTTTAATTTGCATTTCCTTTATTGCTAGAGATGGTGAGCATTTTTTCCTGTGTTTTTTGGCCATTTGAATTTCTTCTTTTGAGAAAGTTCTGTTTAGTTCACTTGCCCATTTCTTTTTTGGTTCACTAGTTTTGGGAGAATTTAGTTTTTTAAGTTCCCTATATATTCTGGTTATCAGTCCTTTGTCTGATGTGTAGCTGGCAAATATTTTCTCCCACTCTGTGGGTGTTCTCTTCAGTTTAGAGACCATTTCTTTTGATGAACAGAAGCTTTTTAGCTTTATGAGGTCCCATTTATCTATGCTATCTCTTAGTTGCTGTGCTGCTGGGGTTTCATTGAGAAAGTTCTTACCTATACCTACTAACTCCAGAGTATTTCCTACTCTTTCCTGTATTCTTTTTTTTTATTGTTATTCATATGTGCGTACAATGCTTGGGTCATTTCTCCCCCCTTCCCCCACCGCCTCCTTTACCCCCCCGCCCCCTTTCTCTTCCCCCACCCCCTCAATACCTGGCAGAAACTATTTTGCCATTGTCTCTAATTTTGTTGAAGAAAGAGTATAAGCAATAATAGGAAGGACCAAGGGTTTTTGCTAATTGAGATAAGGATAGCTATACAGGAAGTTGACTCGCATTGATTTCCTGTGCATGTGTGTTACCTTCTAAGTTAATTCTTCTCGAACTAACCTTTTCTCTAGTTCCTGGTCCCCTTTTCCTATTGGCCTCAGTTGCTTTAAAGTATTTGTTTTAGTTTCTCTGCGTTGAGGGCAACAAATGCTAGCTAATTTTTTAGGTGTCTTACCTATCCTCACACCTCCGTTGTGTGCTCTCGCTTTATCATGTGATCAAAGTCCTGATGAGTTTCTTTAACATCAGCCTCTCCTGCCTCAACCCAGCCTAGCAGTATGTTGAGCTCTCTGTGCCTTTCTTTCAGAGACGTCTTACTGACAATATAGGCTTAACAAATGCCCTGGCTCTGCCAAGAGTTGGTCAGGAAGTTATTGTTTGCTGTGGCTGGAACTGGGTCTGTGATGGGATCTGCTTGCCAAGGCCTCTAGGACTGCACCAGATAGAGAATTGCAACCAGGCATAGCAGGTTGGGGAAGATGCAGTTTCTAAAACTATCTGCAGGGCTTATGAGCCTCCCAAATATATCATTTACTCCCACAGGCCTCTTAGAAGGTCCAGGGGACAGTCCCCCAACTGGCCATACATATTGGGCTCTGGAGTCAGCAAGCACTTTCCTTCCTGGAGCTACTGGAACTTGGAGTCATGTGGCTAAACCTCCCCTCCAAGCAAGGGGTGAAGTGTATGTAGGCAATTTAAGAAAACTATCTTCCTTTTGAGCTTAGTGTGGTGTGTTGGGCCTTTAAATTGTTGACTTTAACATTTTCTTTTTGGTGGCACTGGGATTTGAACTCAGGGCCTCGTACTTGCTAGACAGGCATTCTACTACTTGAGCCACTCCACCAGCCCAAGTTGTTGCCTTTAGGACCATCTCTCAGGTGGAAACTCTTGGGTCCATGAAGGACTTTCCTAGCGGTCCAGCCCTTCTTGGCCCTGAGGGCAAGTGCAGTCTCTGGCCTCCTTGCTAAGCCAGCACAGCAATCAATTGCTTCTGGTGTTTCCCCTCAGCAGACTCTCAGCTCAGTCAGTTCTCTTTCCCTTGGGGCAGTGAAGGAGAAAGACCTGTGGACTTGCCCTTGGAGCCCCAGATTTTAGGTCAGTCTCCACTTACTGAGCTATGGAGTGGGCCGGGAGAAAAGGTTGCTTTCAACTATGTGAACTCTCTGTAAAGGAGGATGGCTGTCTTTTAAAGCTTCCTTTTAAGCCCCTTTTAGCTGATGTCAGAAAAGTAGAGCAACATAATGGCCTGCAACCAGTAAATGCACAGGCCTGGCACCAACTCTCATCATAGCTCCTCCTGCTGCTTGTGACCCCCCCAAAAGCTTTCTGGATCTCCTGGGAAGCACTGAGCTCTTTGCCTTGCCATTCCAGAAAGCCATTGATCTGGTGACAAAAGCCACAGAAGAGGATAAAGCCAAGAACTACGAGGAGGCGCTGCGGCTCTACCAGCATGCTGTGGAGTATTTCCTCCACGCTATCAAGTGTGAGTTGCACTTGGGGTCCTCCCAAGCTGCAGAGCCCCAAGAGAGGAGGGAAGGTGGGCACATGGGGCTCATATGGGCCACTCTCTGGTTCCCCTTTTGCAGATGAAGCACACAGCGACAAGGCCAAGGAGAGCATTCGAGCCAAGTGTGTGCAGTACCTAGACCGTGCAGAGAAACTGAAAGATTACTTACGAAACAAAGAGAAGCATGGCAAGAAGCCAGTCAAAGAGAATCAGAGTGAGGGCAAGGGGTGAGTCTGCTGGAGCATATGGCGAGGGGACTGGAACCGTTATGCGTGGGTCTGCCCCATGTGTCACTGTCATCGTTGATGCCAATGCTGTCTTGGGCTTCCATGGCCCCTCCCTGCGGAGATCTTCTCATAACAGTAATGCCAACGCATTTCACAGAAACGGTGGCTTCTTGGATCTGGACAGAAAAGCTGTGGTTACAAGCCTTAGATTCTACAGCCTAACTCTTGGGGTGGAATCTTGGCTCTGCCATGTGACCTTGACCCCATTTCTCCAGTCTCATTGTCTCAGCAGGGAAAGTTGACAGAACTGTGTCTCTATTATTGCTGTAAGGGCAGATGACAGGATGTAGGTAGAGCCTTAGAATTAGAAGCCAGCTTGCACGCAGAAAGTGCTCGATGAGTACAAGCTGCTATTGTCATAAAGGAGCATCTTCTTCACCTTACATGTGAGGTAGCAGACTCAGCGAGGCAAGAGACTAGACAAGGTCACAGAGATAAGACATGATGTATTACATAACCCCCATCCAGGGCCTGTATTTCTGATCTCACAGTCAAGGGTCTTTCCACACCTCTGACCTTAGGTCTGGAGTTTGTCCACCATGGCAATGCCACTCAGCTAAACATAAATGCCAGGAACATCCTGGAAGCCAGGGAAGGTTCTGAGGGTCCAGAGGTCATGGGGCTAGGAGAGAGGTGGATGTGTGTGAGATGCTCTCCTGGACAGAGAGTATGCACTCTTGGTCTGATTCCCTAGTACAAGAGATAGAAGCCAAGGGTCTTCAGGAGTGATAAGAGAGTTCTGCAGATGCAAATAAATGATGTCTGCGTAGCAGCTAGCTCTTGGGATGAAAGCACGGTCCCCTGTTCTTCCTTTAAATTGATTTATTTATTTATTTTGTGGTATTGGGGATTGAACCCAGAGCCTCAAGCATGCTAGGCAAACACAAAACCACTGAGCTACATCCCCAGCTTCTCCTTTAAATTAAAATTTTACCTTTGTTTTTTTGGAGCTGCTTCAGAGTCACATCCACATGCTGTTTCCAAGTCTGTGTGAACGGTTCCTGACACCTATGTTCACTTATGGCTGCTCTTTAAGTCCAGCCAGAGCGCATTTCCCTCAGAAGCCCTATCTTTATTCCCTCATGAAGGAACAAGGATGGGTTGTGGGTTATGAGAGTTTCCCAGAGGAGACTGAGACCCTGAGGTCTCAAGGTTCCTGCTTACCAGTCCCTCACTGGTGCTGAGCTGGGAGCATTCCTTACCTACTGTGCTGGGGGCAGAGCTGGCCCCACTCAGAGTCTCCTTGCTCCTGGGCTGGAGGGCCAGCTTGTGATTTTATGTCTCCTTTCCTAGCAGTGATAGTGACAGTGAAGGAGATAATCCAGAGAAAAAGAAATTGCAAGAGCAACTGATGGGTAAGAAGCCCAAGGCCCCGTGGCATTGGGAGGACAGGTGACATGGGCCTCTGTTGGGTTGGCTCATGCTCACGGGTCAGGTTCTGGGTCAGCCTCCCTCTCTTGCAGGTGCTGTTGTGATGGAGAAACCCAACATACGGTGGAATGACGTAGCTGGGCTGGAGGGGGCCAAAGAGGCCCTTAAAGAAGCTGTCATTTTGCCAATTAAATTCCCACACTTGTTCACAGGTGAGAGTTGACATAAAAATATCAGGTTTCTGAGGGAGCCATCTTGGGGTTCTGCCTCTGAAGCGTCCCAGAACAGATGTTCTCATGGCCTCAGTATCCTCAGCCAGCAGAGGGACGACCTCAGCCTTCCCATGTCTCTGTCAGGAGAGGCCCCAGGGTCTGGTCACCACAATCATCTACTCAGCTTATTTACAGTACTGGGAATTGAACCCAGGGCCTTGTGCAGATGCTAGGCAAGCACTCTACTTCTGAGCTACACCCCCCAGCCTTTACTTTTTGGCTTCTTGCTAGCATCAAAATTACTTCTGTGATTAGAACTTTGAGTAGGCCATCGTATTGTTGGGCAGCATCAGGAACCAGCTAGCCAGTGTCACTTAGCAGGGACATGGGGGTCATAAATAAAGGCAAAGTTTGAGCTCCCCACAGGCATTTAGTTCCCTTCACTCCTTTGCTCTTAGAACCAATTGTTTTATAGAACTTTATTCTTCCTACTGAATTTAAAGAGACTAAAGACCTACTTCTCTTCATTCCCTTTCCCCAGGCAGGAAGCTTACTTCAGTTGTTCTTTATTGCAGGCAAGCGTACCCCTTGGCGAGGGATACTGCTCTTTGGACCTCCTGGCACAGGGAAATCCTACCTGGCCAAAGCCGTGGCAACAGAGGCCAACAACTCCACCTTCTTCTCTGTGTCCTCCTCAGATCTGATGTCTAAGTGGTTGGGGGAGAGTGAGAAGTAAGTCAGCCAGCACACCATGCACTGTTGGCAGCCCTGGAAGCTGCTGGTGGTCCAGCTTTCCTGACCCTTGGAGTCACCTTCCAGAGGAGCACCTGTTTGATATTCAGGAAGAGTAGCCAGGAGAGCAAGATCTTGCTAGCTTCTCAGTTGGGACACTGTCCTACACACCAGTGAAACTGGAAGGGAGCTTGGGAGAAATAAAGTACTCAAGGAGGGAAGAGAAAATCAGATTTGGGTATGCCTATAATCCCAGCACTGGGGAGGCTGAAGCAGGATTGTGAATTGGTGGCCAGTGTGGGCTACATAATAAGATGCTGTCTCAAAACAAAAAGGAATGGGAAAGGAACAAACCATAACTGCCTATCAGTTGATCGCCCTGTTGGGGCATTTTATACAGCTAGCTGATTCCCCATGCCGGCTCCTGTTTTGCAGATGATGACACCAAGGCTCAGAGGAAAGGAAATGATTTGTCCTAAGTCCAGAGCTAATGAATGGGGTACCCAGGCTTTGAGGCTGATGCCAAGGCATGTGCTTCCTCTTGGAACACTGCCACCAAAGGACTTGTCAGCACCATTTTCCCCGTCACCACCTTTCAGCCTTCCTATGGGAAAAGCAAGAGAAGTGGTAGCTGGGCCCCTGGGTGGCATGTTTGGGAGCATCCAGGTTCTGACCCTTTCTCACTCTCCCAGGCTAGTCAAGAACCTGTTTGAGCTGGCCAGACAGCACAAGCCCTCCATCATCTTCATCGACGAGGTGGATTCCCTCTGCGGGTCCCGAAATGAAAATGAGAGCGAAGCTGCCCGAAGGATCAAAACGGAGTTTTTAGTCCAGATGCAAGGTGTGTGCCATTGGCAGGTCCCCCCTTAGTTGTCTTTACCTGAAAGCCAACCCAGGGTTTCATTAGTTAGCTGTGGCTGGACTCAGTTGTCCTTGGCAGAGAGGAGGAACACGTCTCCTCCAGCCTTTCATGGGTTTTCATCACAGAGATATTCCTGAGGCCTTTGCCATGTATCCATTCTGTCCCTCCTAGGACAGGCATCACTGTAGATCTCTTGACCCTGGCAAAGCCAGACCAGGACATGATTTAGTTTCAATTGGGACCCTGTCAGTGGTAGCACAGGGATGGCTTCTGGTGACGACTCAACAAAGCCCTGGAAGCCCATACTATAGGTTTTGACTAACCCTTGCCAGTGCCCTCAGAGTTGGCATCTGTGTCTCCCTTTCTCCACAGGAGTAGGAAATAACAATGATGGGACTCTCGTACTTGGTGCCACAAACATACCCTGGGTTTTGGATTCGGCCATTAGAAGGAGGTAGGTCTTCCTCTAACCAAGTGACCTGTGTCTGGCAGCCCTTGGGATACAACCTGACCCCATTTCTCTGGAATCCTCCTGGGTTTGCTGGTTGAGCAAAGCCCTTAGAGAAGTCAAGTTCAAGCCTAGACCAAGCTCTTATTTCCATCTCCATGCCCCTACTTCCATTAACATCATTCTGTGATTGGCGCTCTAGGTTTGAAAAACGTATTTACATCCCATTGCCAGAGGAAGCTGCACGTGCCCAGATGTTCCGGTTGCATCTGGGGAGCACACCTCACAACCTCACGGATGCCAACATCCATGAACTGGCCAGGAAGACAGAAGGCTACTCGGGCGCAGACATCAGCATCATCGTGCGGGACTCCCTCATGCAGCCCGTCAGAAAAGTACAGTCAGCCACACACTTCAAGAAGGTGAGTGGCCAGAAATTGCTTAGACAGCATCACCAGAATAGAGGGATCCATTTTCTTTGCCAGCTCCCTGGCTGCTCAGAGATTCATGGTCTCCTGGAGAACAAGGGCAGGTGCCAGTATACCCATGGCTTCAAAGGTGGGCGGTACCTACCCACTTTCTCTCCAGTTCTTGCTTGAGTGTGATACCAGAGGATGGTTCATCACTCACAGCTCTGTAGCCTCCTCAGCCAACACTGTCTAAATGTTCGAAAAGTGTCAGATGTCAAGTTCCCAGTTGCAAGGATTCATCCACTCATTTAGTAGATTGCTGTGTGTCTTCCTGTGTCTGGCACTGTCCTAGGTGCTGGGGAGACATTCGTAACCATGGCAGACAAAAACTCTCCAGAAGCTTTCCCTCGAGTAGGGGAGACAATGGCTCAAGTAGTAGAGTGCCTGCCTACCAAGCATGAGGCCCTGAGTTCAAACCCCAATACCACAAAAAAAAAAAAAATGCCAGTTCCATAGAGAGTGGTGAGGGGAGCTGGAACAGAGCATAGGAGAGGCTTAAGGGGTGGGCAAGTTGCCCTGTTAAAGGACAAGCCATAGGAGTTACAGGCGGTAGTATGGGCAAGGAACGTCGGCATACGTAGCAGGTATTTTGCCAGTACAGCAGAATTCAGTGGGGAAAACATTTTTGTTATGACTCTGTTCATGGTTCATGAGACTTTTTGGCCTTAGTGAGGAAAGGGAGGCACCCTTTCCTTAATTTGGGGCTACAAATTAAGAATCTGGAGAGCAGCAGCTGGAAGGTAAAATTGTCACTAAGCCTCTTTAATCAGATTTCAAGCCACTTAGGCCACCTAGTCAGAGTTTGAAAAGTGCCTGTCCCTCCTCTAACTCTGCCCTAGAAAGCCTACCATTCCCTCCTCTTCAGGACATCCTTAGAAATGCTAACCCCAATGCTAACAGCAGCCATGCCAGCCTATCTGTCTAACTTCTGCTTGGTTTCAGGTCTGTGGCCCTTCTCGTACCAACCCTAGTGTTGTGATCGATGACCTTCTGACCCCATGCTCACCAGGAGACCCTGGGGCTATAGAGATGACTTGGATGGATGTTCCCGGGGACAAACTCTTAGAGCCTGTGGTTTGCATGGTAAGTGACCAGTTGGAAGAAAGAACCACACACGACCCAGAAAATTGGGGGATCTGGGTCTAAGAATGAAAATGAGCTTCTCAGCTGCAAATGTAACACTGTGGCAAATCACTTACCTAACATGTGCAAGGCCCTTGGTTTAATTCCTAGCATCACAAAAAAAACAAAACAAAAAACTGCTCTTCTGTGTTTTGGGCTATCATGGCCCTCCAAAACAGATTGGCCTTTGTGGCTGTGGGTAGCTGAGACTCCTGCCATGATTCAGTGGGGGCTCAAGACAGAGGTAATAGTGGCATTAGCACTTTATATTCTTTGGTAGGAAGATAATGTGACTGTCATTCTAGGGGTTTGGCTTATTTTGTCCAGAAGGAACCAGTAAAAGTTTGTCAGGGTACATGCAGTGCCTGTGCCCCGTGCAGAGGCAAAGGCATCCTCTTGCTAGAATAGTCTGGATGTCTCCTAGTCTTGCTGGTTGCAGTGTCTGTGCTGTTCTGACAGGTGTTGCCCTGTTGCTGTGCAACTAAGGGAGCTACTGATTGGAGTTACAAGACCACAAAGCATTGATTCTTTGAGTTGGGAGAAAGGCCTGCCTTGGGAGAGAAGACAATCCCTGGCAGATTGAAGTGGAGCAACTATAGGGAGGTTTACACTGGGGGTGACCTTGGAGGCGGGCTTCTTTCCACCCTGGACAGCACAGCTGTCAAGGAGAGATGAAGGATCTAGAGCCTGGCTCTTCTCAGCAGTATGTACTTGTCTTTGCAGTCGGACATGCTGCGGTCTTTGGCCACCACTCGGCCCACAGTGAATGCAGATGACCTCCTCAAAGTGAAGAAATTCTCAGAGGACTTTGGACAGGAGAGTTAAACGCTTCTTCACATGGGTGATGATGAAGGTGGGAGGTTGATTGGGGCAAATCCACAGCACTCCCTATGTCTGGCCAGACAGGGCTCCAGGGCAAATCCTGAAGTCACTGCAGCATCCCCTGTGCTGTATGGCTGCCAGCAGGGGAGCAAGAAGGAAGGGCCTCTGCAGCCACCAAGGCACTCTGCCACGCCTTCAGCACATGGTGGATACTGGTTCTTCCTGCTTCTCTCTCCTGGATGCTCACCAACTCCTTCCCTGCCCTCTGTGTCTTTTTTTTTTTTAAACCTTTTTTGTTCCTCCAAATTAATGCTGCTTTGATTTGTCTTGTTTATAAATAAAGATAAAATCACCTGGAAGCGTCAAGGAGTGGGAGCCACGAGGCCTCAGCCCCCTGCTCCTTTTCTCCCCAACTTGGCTCCTTGTGAAAAGACTGATGGAGAGTAAGAAAAGCCATTCCCACCCTCCTAGGTTTGCATCCAGGGCCCCAGGTCTTCCATGCAGGAGATGGCTTCTGTGAGCATAAGGCTGTTTCAGTCAGGAGGGACAGCAACCAGGCGGGTCTTCACAGCTGCCTTTTGTTCTGCTGAGTGTGAGAACACGGAACCCAGCCTCTGTCCTGGGTCCCTGGCCTGAAGATGGTCTAATAAATCCTTTTCCCTTCTTGAGTCACCAGACTGATCTCATCTTTGACTCTTGTTTTGGGCTCTTTGAAGGCCACTCTTACTTCCAGTAAGACCTTCTGGTTTGCTCTCTCTTAAGCAGAGCAGGAAGTAGAAATGTTCACCACCTGCCACAACTCTCAGGCCTGCTCTCCAGTCAGGTGGCAAAGCCCCCTGCCCTAAGACTCTGAAGTTTGGCTGTGGTATTTAAGGCACCTGGACAGCTCTTTCTGTTGTCCAGTGTCCTGATTAGAGACTGCAAACTAGGAGGCCTGTGGGCCAGACATGCCCTATAGCTACTTGGTTTGGCCTGCTGTCAGCACTTAAAAATCAAGAGTTGATATGAAAATTCAGATTTCTGGCTTCCAAAGATTATGCTGCGCCTGCATTGCCATGAGAAAGCCTATCAATTGCTACTGAGCAGGAGCAGCCCTGTTCAGAAGGGGTCCTCCATCCATTTGTGTTACCTGTGAGGCGGCCACTAGCATTGGTGCCTCCTGATAGCCCTGGAAATGCTGTGTGACAGAGCATCCACAGTAGAGGCTATCCTACTTGTACACATAAAAGGCCTGGCATAGGAAATAAAAGATTATAGTCTGTGAAGGAGGTGTTCTAGCCTTTCTTCCTCTTGAACCAGTATTCTGTATTTTATTTTACTGGTGCTAGGGATTAAACTCAGGCCTTTGCACCTGCTAAGCACCACTCTACCAGTGAACTATATGCCTAACCTCAATTCTTGTATCTTTATTTTTGCTGTACTGGGGTTTGAACTCAGAGCCTCATGATTTCTGGGCAGGCACTCTACCACTTAAGCCACACCCCAGCCAATTCTTTTATCTCTAAAACATGAATGGGCCAGAACTGATTCCATGGTCACCTTTTTGATCATACTGGTCTTGCACTGTGTTTTCTTTACTCTGGTTAGGAGTGATTGCTGACTCGAACATTTGATCAACAGCTTAAAGGACGGGGTCCAAGGCTATTCTCCAATGCTGGTGGGTTAGGCACCTCCAACCACACTCCACCCCCATTACCTGTGGCATTCATGGACGTGACATCCGGAGGACACTTCTATAGTAACTGTGATTAGGATCTTCGTCGTTTGGGAGTGATCACATGATCTTCTTGTATGTGCCTCAATATCAGTTAAGTCTAAATTCTGGAATATAAATCAGGATATGAAACTGCCTCATATATAGAACTTCACTTCAGCTAGTTGAGTGTTTTTTAAATTTTACTTCCAGTTACCTTGAGTCAGAAGGTCCTTGCTTCTTTTTTCACCTGCTTCCTCATTTTCACTGCTTAAACACTTGGTCAGCCACAGGTGTAAGAAGCTTCAGGGCTGTTATGGCTCATCCTCATGGCTCTAGTTAAGTGTGTCCACAGACACCTGCCTTTCCATTTGTCTTTCTCCATGATCAGCAACAGAAACTACTACTGATGCTGAACTCACCTGGGACTGAAGCCAAGGCCCAATGCCTTGAGCTGTCAGCACATGACCCGACATCAGCTCTGTTAAACATGCAGTGTGTGTAGAGGAATTTCCTCCCTTAATTAGGTTCACTGAAAGTCACTTCTCTACTATGGGATTCTGGTCTAAACTTCTGCCTATGTTGGCTTTCACCACGCAGCTGATTTCTAAAACTTTCAATTAGTTCAAGATGCTGATTTGTGGGTTGGCACAGTGGTTCAAGTGATAGAGGGCCTGCCTAGCAAGTGCCAGGCTGAGTTAAAACTCCAGTACCACTAACAAAGATGCTGATTTGTCTGTGAGGTATTTGTGACTGATACCTACCTTGGGTAGAAGAGATTTTATTAGAAATGTAAGGATTTGTTGTTACTGGTCAATATCACAAAGTAAACCTTTGAAGACTATAAAGATGTGCCTGTGGCTCATGCCTGTAATCATACATGATACTCAGAGGCAGAGAGCCAAGAGGATCATGGTTTGAAGCCAGCCCAGGCAACTAGTTCATGAGACACTATCTTAAAAATACCCAACACACACACACACACACACACACACACACACACACACACACACACACAGGTCTGGCGGAGGGAGTGACTCAAGTGGTAGAGTGCCTAGCAAACATGAGGTCCTGAGTTCAAGCTCCAGTACTGCCAAAAAAGAAAGAAAAAAAAAAGCACCAGAAAGTTCAGATACCATTCCTGGGGCTTGTGACTACTATCCATGTGAGAGGAGGCTCACTAAATTCTAACTTTCATAAAGACCCATGTTTTCAGTGTAAACGAGAGTTTTCTACAAACATCCCCAATGGCTAAGTCTCTAAACTTGGGGCAGTGCTTGGTCATGATTCCAAAGTTTGACTGCACCTATAGCCTGCTCTGCTTGGCCTCACAGCCTCCCAGAGAAGGCCATAGAGAAGAGTGGTAGGTGTAAACAAACACTGTTTAAAACTTTCTTGAGGGACACACCTGTGGTCCTAGCCCTCAGGAGGCTGAGACTCAAGGTTTGTGAGTTTAAGGATAGCCTGGGCTACAAAGTAAGACCTGGTCTCTCAAAACACCAATACAAATTTTAAAAACACATTCTATAAACAACTTAACTGTACTTCCTATCAATTGTGTACTTTGATTTAGAGGATTTTTTTTGTAAGAATACCTGCTTCAGCCAGTGCTGGTGGCTCATGCCTGTTGTAATCCTAGCTATGTGGAAGGCTGAGATTAGGAGGCTTTCAGTTTGAGGCCAGCCCAGGCAAAAAGTTCACGAGGCTCCATCTCCAAAATAATTAGAGCAAAAAGGACTGGAGGTGTGGCTCAAGCAGTAGAGTGCCTGCTTTCCAAGCTCAAAGCCCTGAGTTCAAACCTCAGTTCCACAAAAATTAAAGCCAAAAGGGCTGATGGAGTGGCTCAAATGGTAGAGTGCCTGCCTAGCAAGCACAAGGCCCTGAGTTGAAACCCTAGTACCCAAAAAAAAAAAAAAAAAAAAAAAAACCTCTCAAACCTCAACATAAAAATGAAATAAACCACTTCTGGAGATCTATCACCTCTTGATAAATCTCTAATAGCTTGATGTTAATTTGTTTTTAGGGACCAGCAAGCACCAGTTCTGCTTTGTTTTTGTCCTAATTGTGATAGGAAGAGACTCACTACCCCCATCAGTTATCATCTCTGCCCCCAGACCTGCTTCAAGACTTCCCCTCAAATGAGCCAAACACAGCTGCCTAAGAAATAGCCCAAATCTTCCCTAAGTCTGTTAAACATGGCAGCTACAAGGTGGAGACCTACTGTATCTAGTCTGTTTAAATATGTCATTACACACTTCCTGGACTTGGGACTATTTTGTCCTGTATTTCACTTCCACCAGCAATTGATGTCCAAAGTGAACCAAGGATTCTGAAGGTCAGACACACACAAGCCTTTTGTGAAAAGAACTCAGGAAAGACTGGCCAACCACAGCCCTACCTGAATTTTTAAAACCAGCTTTCAGATGTTTGGGGACTGCATTATTATCATATCTTGGCTTTGGAGGTAGATCATGCAAGTCTCATGAAATCATTTCTCTTGAGAATAGTTATTTACTTGTCCCACTTCTCTCCATATAAAATTGTCAGAAAATATCTTTCAGTGAGTGTGCATTCCTCAAGCTAGTAGCAGTACTCTATCCAAAGCTGGCTATGAAGCAAACATTTCTACCATCATCCTCCAACTCCACCCAGCACATGTTGCTGAGCCAGTTCCAAGTTGAAGCCAAGTAAGATGTGCCCAGCTTAAGCTGGTGTCTGCATCTTGTTTTTCCAGATCCTCAGCCCCAGCACAAATGGTTTAGTCATTAACCTCCATCCAGTGGACGTTTGTAAATGTCCTGCTGTCCATTTTGTCAATAAACAGGCAGCCCTGCAAGTGGTCCATCTCATGCTGGATGATTCGGGCTGTCCACCCACTGGCCGGCCATACCACCTGCTCTCCTTTGGGGTCCAGCCCTGCAAAGGAAGTGACAGGTTGGCTGAGATGGGGATGTGCTGAATGCTTCAGGCTCAACCTTATGCCCTTGTTCTCTTGCCCTGGCCTATTTAATAAATATCAGAAAAGAATATAGACAGCAGCTCCTATCTCTCCTAGAAAAGATGCCTCAACTGTGCCATTGCCAAGTATTCAGCCTGGTTCCCAACTCTCCTGATTCGGTTGTTGGGCTCACTATGGGTCAGGATGAGAAATTCCCTTGCTAAGGTGCTTTCCTTCTGAACACTGCTCTCACTTCTCAAGGGTTAGGTGCGATCAAAGGTATTCCAGCCCGGTACAGCAAAAATGGACACTATTGACCTTCTGACCCTCTTTGGAGCAATCGGACTGCTCAGAGGAATACTCATCCCAGCCCCAGCAGAAAACCACATGCCACAAGACATCTGTGGTAGGACGGATGTAGAATGGCTTGAGCCCTGGGTTGGGCAAAATTGGGTACCACAGCGAATGAGAGAGAGGGCACCTCCCACACCGCCCTCCACGGCCCACCTCCCACCAGTCTGTCACCGACTACGGCTTCGCTCCAGCGGGCGGCAGGCTCCGCAGAGCCACCACCCACTTGTCTACGCTGTCCTGGAGTTCGGTGGGCTCCGGGCCGCGGCCTCCCCAGCCCACACCGTCCGCACCTGAGATCTGCACGGCCTGGAAGCGGGGCACGCAGGCCAGGAAGCCGGCGACGCTCTCGCAGCCCTCGGGGAAGGTGATGAGGCGGCTGTCCAGCACGCGCAGGCTGGGGTTCACGAGCACGCGCAGCGGGAAGGGCTCCATTTGGCGGAGCTCGCGCAGGCGCGGCGCGCAGGCGCGGAAGAGCGCCTCGGGGAACTCGAAGGCCAGCACCTGCAGCGGGACCCCCAGCTGCGGCGCGCTCAGGCCCACGCAGCGCCGGCGCCGCATCACCTGCACGAGCCGCTGCACCAGCCGTTGCAGCTCGGGCCCCGCCAGCTGCGCGGGCTCCACCGGGCCCGCCACGGTCCGCAGCGCTGGGTCCCCAACCTGGCACACGTGCAGGTACGGTGGCTGCGGCGCTCCCCGCAGCAGGCGCCGCGCGTACCGCCAGTAGGAACGCCGGCGCGCGGGACCCTCAAGGCCGTCGGTGGCCGCCGAGGAGCTGCAGGCCCGCGCCTGCTCCCGGCCCATTGGGGCCCGCGGCCGCCCGAGCCGCAGCAGCAGCAGCCCGCCCAACAGCCAGCCCATGGCGCGCGCCCGCAGCAACAGGCGCCGCTGCCGCTTCCTCCCGGCGGTCGGCCGAGCGCCAGGGACGCCGGGAAGCGTAGTTCTCGCGCGCCTTCCGGAATTGCCGACAGTGAGGGCCGCGGCCAGGTCACAACGCGTCAACTTTATTGTTCATCTCACCCACACACAAGAGCCCCGGGAGCGACTCTCCCTCCCCCGGCAGCTGTCCCGCACGACCGTCTGACTAGGACCCCTCGCTAGGCGGCTCGGCCCGCTGCGGCTCCCCGGGCTCCCGCTCCTCCGGCGCGGCTGCTGCAGCGGGCTCCAGGCTCGGCTCCTCAGCTGGAAGCTCCGGGGCTGGAGCCGCGAGCTCGGGCATTAGCTCCTGGTCATCTAGAGAGAAGGCCATCTCTCTCTTAGGCAGGATAAAGGCGAGAGGCTCCTGGATGACGCTGATGTTGACGTGCCCAAGGTTTCCGTACTTGGAGAGCTGGGTGGGTGGAATGCCTAGTCCAAGTGGTAGGAAAGCATAATGGAAAGACGTCATTAATAAGATCCACTACCCAGGTTACAGTAAAAACAAACAAACAAAAAACACTTAAGGAGGAGGCACAATTACATACTTCAATCCAGCAAAAACCACCTTTGTGATATACGGGAGAGGAAGCTATACTGTAAAGCAAGCCTAGGAAGGTAATGAGTTGCTGCTCTGCAGAGGGTGGGTGGTACCTGAGCCAGGAATCATCCTAGGACAGAACCAAGGGAAAGGCTGAGGCCACCAGGGACAGCGCTATGATGACCTTAGTGGTCATCAAGATCACTGACTCCCTATCCTTTAGGGAGCTATAGCCTCCTTCCACCAGCACCCCAACTCCAAAAGGGAACAGAAAGCACACTGAGGAAAATATTTTAAAAACTGCTTCTCTGGACATTTCATATGAAGAGAATCACAACAGGTAGGGTTCCTTTGTGGCTGGTTTCTTCCACTCAGATACAAGGGTAGTATATGATTCCATTTCTGGGGCATGAGCTACATTACACAAAGGCATTGCCAGGGACTGGAAGTGTGGCTCAAGTGGTAAAATGCCTGCCTAGCAAGAACGAAGCATTGAGTTCAAACCCCAGTATCACCAAAAAAAAAAGTTGCCAGGGCTAAGGGTACCACAGAGGAATGATTATCAAATGAGGGATCTTTTGGGGAGGGGTGAAAAAAAGTTCTAAAATTGGATGCTGGTAAAGGCTGTACACCCCTGTACCTTTACTTAAAAAACAAAACAAATAAAAAAACACTGACTTACACAAATAAGTAAATTATTTAGTTATGTGAATTACTTATCAATAAGGTAGTTAAAAAAATCCTTTCTCTTACCTAAAGTCTGTGCTAACTGAGCTGGTGGAAAAAGAACTTGAAGACAGCGATTTAAATAAGGAACAAGGTCTTCGAGGAAGACAGTGCAGAACTGGACAAAGAGCTCTTGCTCCCCACTGCTGAAGGCGGCCTCCTCAGCTCGATGGAAGGCCAGGATTATTTTAGTTACCTATGAGACAAAGACGCCAACAATCACTGTGGCACAAACATGCAGCCCTCATGTTTTCATTAAGAATGTCATTCCAAACATACGCTATATTACTATCTTGTTCAGAATTGTGGTCAGTCTTCCCAATTATGTCACTTCACTGATATATTTATGACCTGCCTGTTTAAGTCATTACCATCAGTTTCCAGCTCCAGTGGAGCAGAATCATGAAATTATAGGGAATTATAATTCCCTAGACATGGGTCTGAAAACTCAGGGGGGCTGGCCTGTGACTGTGATGGATCCAGGAAAATGAAGCATTTGACTTTGAATTAGTCATAAGGGAGATTATCTTGGGTGGGTCTGACTTAGTCAAATGAACCTTTTGAAACAGACATGCTCTCTTGCTGGCCTTGAGAAAGAAACAGCCATGTCGTGAACTGCCCATGGAGGAGTGGGCCTATAGAAGTTGTAGCCTCAGTGCTACAATTTAAGCAACTGTACAGAATGAAACCTAACTTCAATGAGCCTGAAAGGGAGCCACATGCTCCAGATGACACCAGGATCCAGCTGTCACCTTGAATGCAACCTGTGAGACCCTGAGCAGATGACCCAGGGACACTGCACCTAAACTCCTGACCCACAAAAACTGGGCAATAATAAATGTGCTGTATTAAACTGCTAAGTTTGTTGGGATCTGTTACAAAGCACTAGAAAACAAGTTCATTACTGAATTATCACTACAGCTGAGCCACTTCATATTGTTCTAGGATTGTCCCCTTTAAGGGGACTAACCAGACTGTCAACTGCAAAACCTCTAAAATTAGTGAACCTCTCTAAATTAGTAAGCACCACAGTGAAATATACTGCTTTATTACAAAAATTAGTCCAACAGGCTGAAGACTTGGCTCAAGTTGTAGAGTCTGCCAACTTTTTGGCAAGCTCCAGTGCTGCCAAAAAACCAAACCAAAGCATACTAACAAAAAGCCAAACCTGTCCAACAAAAATCTGGCTTCCTGTTACCAAAGGAGGCCCAGGGTAGTAAAGACAACGAATGCACTCACCTTGGCAAGGGCATCCTCCAAGGTCCCAGTCACATCCTGTGCAAGGGCCACAGGGCAGCAGAGCCGAAGATCATTGAAGGCAACCAGAATATTGTTGAGGAAGCAGGCAAGGGGTGGGAAGTCTAAGAGCAGCATTGGTGGCTGCAAAGTCCCTGGCTGAGTGGCTGGCATGGCAGCAGGCACGTTACTGCTGCCCAGGATGGCTGGAGTAGAGATGAGGGTATAGGAGTTTATTTCATCCTGGAATTTCTCCACTGCTTCCTGAATTGCTTTCTGGAAAGTGGTGATGGCCACCCGCTGGAAAACAGGAGCCAACTGGCCCCGGAAATCAGCCCCTACACGGCTGAAGGACAGCCCAAAGTACATGCACTGGCCTAGCAGAGAGTCCAGGCGGCCACCTATCCCACGGTAAAGGTCTGTCTCCAGCACCTGTAAGAACTGTGAGACTTTCTGTAGCACCCAGCCATGGAAGATGGCACCCTCATTCACGGTGTGCTCACCCATGGCAGGTGGCAGCAGGGGGTCCTCATCTGAGAAGATGGCTCGGTACTGGGTGATGATATCAAAGAGGTGGACTCGGCAGGCCTCGATAGTTTTTGTGATATGGAAATAAGGATCATCATTAGGGATGGCAGTCAGGATGGAGCGCAGCCAAGCATCTCGGGCCTGAAGAAACTTCACCCTCAGCTCAGCTTCGGTAAAGACATCCATTTGCCGCAGGTAGCCAATGACACGGAGGCAGGCAGGGAGCTGGATGTTGGTCCTCAATTGCTGGATCAGCTGGTTCAGCATCAGCTGCATGGACTGGCGCACTTCATTCACAATGCCCTGACAATGCAGGGAGTAAGTCACAATGTGTCAGGAAAGACAGTCTTTGGGACCCATTCCACTAATCCTGAATAATGTAGAACAACATTCCTATGCTCTCCTGACATCTAAAGCTGTCAGGAGTTGTGTAACTCTTGCTTAACACGTGTAAAATTGGCTGGGGATGGTGGCTCATGCCTGTAACTCCAGCTACTCAGGAGGTGTGTATCAGGAGGATCACAACTCGAGGCCAGCCCAGGCAAATAGTTCACAAGACCCCATCTCCAAGATAGCAGAACAAAACAGACTGGAGGTGTGGCTCAAGTGGTACAGCACTTGCTTTGCGAGTGTGAAGCAGAATTCAAATCTCAATTTCACACACATACATACACACAAATCGTTACTACTTACCATGGCCTCCAGGTCGGGCTTGGCTGTCTAGCTTAATCTGCTTCCTAGTGCTCTACCGTTGCTCAGTACAGTCTCATAATACTAGCTGTCTTTGGATCCCTTAAACAAGTCAACTTCTTCCACCTCAGCCTTATTTGGTCCTTCCATTTTCTGATTTGCTCTCTCCCCTTATCTTCAGTGACTGGCTCCTCTCATTATTTAAAATGTTATCACTCTAGAAAAGCTTTTCCTGACCACTGTGCCTAAAGTAACCCACTACCTCCTCTCCATCTCATTCCTGTTTTTTTTTTTTTTTTTCTTTGTGGTACTGGGGATTGAACCCAGGGGCTCACAAATGATCTATCACTTGAACTATGCTGCAAGCCCACCCTGGTTTATTTTCTTCAGACATCACTAACTGAAATTATCATATTATTTACTTATATGTCAGTTATTGGACCTCTGCTAGATGTAAAGTTTATGAGACTCACAACCTTGACTGCTTTGTTCACACTATATCCCCAATACCTAGGTCAATTCTGGCACATGATTAACATGTGTCTTCAAATTGACGAATGAATGTTTTTTGTTGAAGGCTGCCTGGGTTTCACGCATGTGAAACATGCAAAGGTTTCTACCTAAAGGTTCAGTTCCAATCATAGAATTAATAGCTAGAACATTAGCTTGAGTGCTCTCTGGGCAAGCTGGCTACCTGGATGACAGGGATGGAGGAGTATTTCCTTTCCAGTCGGCGTACATAGGCTGCAAGCTCCAGGGCCTCTTCATAATAACTGTTGCGGACACAGGTGTCCATGAGCTGAGGAATCTCCAGTATTTCCAAGATTTCAGTGTGCCGGTTTAGAGTCAGGGTATTCATGCGGCGGTTGGAGCTGATTTCCTCAGCTTCCTTCACAAAGTTCCTAGAACCAAGCAAACAGGGAAATGTTGGTCCCTCACTGCTCTACACCCAAACCATAGCTAACTTCCAAGCTGAGTATAAAGTGGGTGGGTACTGGGCTGGATTTATCTGATTTACTCCTCACACCAGACCTATAAGGTAAGTACTATCATACTTGAGTAAACTTTTTTTTTTGGCAGTATCAAGGATTGAACTCACACTTGCTAGGCAAGCACTCTACCACTTGAGCAACTCCACTAGCCCTTTTTTGTGTTGGTTACTTTCGAGATAGGATCTCACTAACTGCATGGGCTGGCCTCAAACCTCAATCCTCCTGTTCTCTGCCTCCCGAGTAGCTAGGATTACAGACGTGAGCCATCAGCATCCGGGAAAGAAAACTCTTAATCACAGACAGGTTTAGAACTTGTTCAAGATCACGCCACTAGTAAGTGATTGATAGATAAAGGTTCAGATGCCAGCAAATGGGAGAACTTCCTTGTCAAGTTCTTATCAATGGATGTTTTGAAGCAGATGACGTCCGGTCTGAGCTGGTTTGTGTGTGTGTGTCTTTACACGAATGTGCACATATATTAAGCTGACATTTATAGAGGTACCTATGTCAGACCCAAGGATACATGCTTTGCATGGATTCTTTTAAAAATTCAATACAATGTCCCTAAGGGGTAGGGATGAGCTCCTAGGCTCCAGTTCTGACTTGGAAACTTATTGGCTGTGTTCTTGTACAAACCCCTATCCTCTGTGTCTCAACTTCCTCATTTGCAAAATGGGAATTACAGTCCCTACCTGGAAGTCTGTTGTGAGGTTTAAATGGATTATTAAAGCGCTCGGCAGAGAGACACACGTCTGCGCTACGTAAGTGTCAGCTGTATCTATCACCCGAAGTGTCAGATACCGCAGTTAAGACCCCTTTAGCGCCAGGCCCGCCGCACCTGCAGCTCTGCTGGAAGCTGGGCAAGCGGTCGAGCAGGCAGCCGAGGGACGCCTCCACGTCGCCGAAGAGGCGGTGGATGCGTTCGGTGCACTCGGCGCCGCGGATGAAGGTCTTGTAGTTAGCGAAGGCCAAGTCGCGCGTCTGCTGCAGCAGCTGCGCCCGCTCCTCGGCCAGGCGCTCGGGCTCGCGCCGCAGCCGCTCCAGCCCCGAGCCGCTCAGCTCCCGGAGATAGCGGCCCACATCGGGCCGCTCCCGCCACTGGGCCTCGGAGAAGCGGTCCCGGAACAGCGACGCCAGGAGCCCTTCATCCTCCACCTCCCCGAGAGCTGCTGCCGTGGCTGTCGCCCTGGCCGAGGCCGTAGTGGAAGCTGGGATAGTTGCCGCCGCCATCTTCCCAGTAGCAGCATCACTTCTCCTCCAGACCAGCGAGGGCGTGGGCCACACCGAGAACCGGAAGCAACCAGGACACATTTCCTGTCTTTATGGTTTCTTCCCTTCCCCCCCCACCGCACCCCCCCGTTCTCCCCGCCCCCACGGTCCTCCAAACTAGGGGGCGCCAACGCGAGGAAAGCCTGATCGCGGCTAGAGAGTCAGGTTTTGGAGTTGCCAGGAACCCGGTAGGCGGCCGACTTCCGTTTCCGGCTACTGAGGCACGAGGATCCGGTGATCGGACGCAGCGGGAAAATGCGGCCTTTGACGGAAGAGGAGACTCGGGTCATGTTCGAGAAGATCGCGAAATAGTAGGAGCGCGCGAGGTGGACGGGGGCGTGTGCGTTTGGTGGGGCGTTGGGGGAGGAGGCCGCGGTTCCGGACGAGTCCGTTCGGGCGCAGCCCCCACCCTCTTTTGCCTTCAGCATAGGGGAGAACCTCCAGCTGCTGGTCGACAGGCCCGACGGCACCTACTGCTTCAGGCTGCACAATGACCGGGTGTACTACATGAGTGAGAAGATCCTGAAGCTGGCCGCCAACATCTCCGGGGACAAGCTGATGTCACTGGGAACCTGCTTCGGAAAATTCACTAAGACCCACAAGTTCCGGTTGCACATTACAGCTCTGGATTACCTTGCACCCTATGCCAAGGTTTGTGAACTGGTTCCATTTTGCCACGGCAGATGAAGTCACCGATGAGGGCTAGGGTGAGGCAGCCTCTTTGCCCTGAGAGGGCACGTGACTATGGTTAGGGGCTGTGGGGTTGGAGCACCGTACAGCTGCCTAATGCAGTTATCCCAGCAAAGTAAAAAGACCGGTGCATAGACCAGCTCCACGCCACAAAGCAGTGCTGTGATGAGGATATCGGGGTCCAGAAAAAGAACCGTTGAAGTGTCCAGGGAGTACATTGCTTGTAGAGTTAAGAAAATAACTTTGTGGCAGTTCTGTTCGGAAGATGAACGAGTACAAGGAAACGTGCTTTTCTTTCCACCCAGGCCCCACAATCACAGAACCAGTACCTAACTTAACTGCTGTTTCTTGGGATTTTAATTCTTTCTTACAGTATAAAGTGTGGATAAAACCTGGAGCAGAGCAGTCCTTCCTGTATGGAAACCATGTGATAAAATCTGGTCTGGGTCGAATCACTGAAAACACTTCTCAGTACCAGGGCGTGGTGGTGTACTCCATGGCAGACATCCCTTTGGTGAGTGGAGGTGGTAGTTACTCCAAAAACCAAGCACCTTTTCATTCACGATGATTGTATTTTCAATCTGTCCTGAAAGATTAACTTCTCGGCCCCCTTTGAATTCCGCAAAGATCAGAACTTTTTTCTAGAGAATACTGTATTAGTTTCTGTAATTATGTAGTTAATTATAGTGCATTGCCTCTGTATGAATGGGAAAACAAATTTGTTTCTAGACCAACATGGTGATTAATTTTAGTACGATGCAAACTCAATACATTACACTAGGGTAATTTTTTCCAAAATTGACAGGCATAAAGTTTCCAGAAGTTCAAATTATAAGTATATATGTATATATGCTTGCATATATATTTACATTTATATAAAAAAGCCAGTAATACCAGTGTGTTACACAACAGCTTTTCCAGGTTTATTTATTTTTGATATGACTGGGGTTTGAACTCAGGGCTTCATGTTTGCAAAGTAGGTACTCTCTACCATTTGAGCCACGCCTCCAGTCCATGTTGGTCTGGTTATTTTGGAGATGGCAGTCTCAAGAAATATTTGTGTAGGCTGGCCTCTAACCTTGATCCTCCGGATCTCACCCTCCAAAGTAGCTAGGATTGCAGGTGTAAGCCACTGGCACCTGGCTGACCATTCTTCCATTCTTTTCTTTTTTAATTTGGGGCCTCACACTTGCTAGGCAGACACTTACCACTTGAACCACTCCACCAGCTCTTTTTTTCCTTGGGTATTTTCAAGATAGGATCTCATGAATTATTTGCCTGGGCTGGCCTTAAACCTCAGTCCTCCTGATCTCTGTCTCCTGATTAACTAGCATTACAGGTGTGAGCCACCAGCACCAGGCTGTGACCCTTCTTTTTTATTAGCTTCTGAATCATCATCTGGAAAGAAAACATTCTAGAGTGACGTTAAAATCAGCTCCAATAAAGCATTACTTCATATCATAAGGCAGATACAAGGCATTTTACATTTACAGATTATAAGAAATTACTGTCTTACATCTGTGATACTAGAGAGTACAATTAAAAAGGCATTATTTGAGACTTGATTTGACTTTTGCAGCAGAGGGCCCAAAGGATGGTTTGACATATCTCTGTAAATATGATCCAGTATGGTGGAGCATGCCTTTGAGGCCAGCTCCAGGAAGATGCATATCAAAAAAAGGGGCTGGGAAGTAGCTTAGGTGATTGAGCACCTACCCAGCAAGAACAAGGCCAGTAGTTCAAACTCTGGTACCACAAAAAAAGAAAAAGAGAAGGGAAGGAGGAAGAGAGGAAGGTGTACTTTCTTAGATAGGATTCCCTTTCATTAGTAGGACAGTTTGAAGTACTGTCTTTGTGAAGATCAGCTAAAAAAATAATGTTATTCAGCCCTCAACATGGGCTTATTGATGACTTGAGTAAATTAGTGTTTCTTCTTTTGAATCCCAGGGTTTTGGGGTAGCAGCAAAGTCTACACAAGACTGCAGGAAAGTAGACCCCATGGCAATTGTGGTGTTCCATCAAGCGGACATTGGAGAGTATGTACGGCATGAAGAGACGTTGACTTAAAGTGAAGTCATCTCAAGGACTTACTGCTGTGCAGAAAGGGCCTAGCTTTGTTTCCAGTGTCTGTGTAGACACCTCCATCATGTTATTTTGTCAACACTGGATACAGGGACTCTTTAGATTAATATTGTCTATCACTAACAAGTACAGGTTGGGTTCTTACTATACAGAAAAATAGTGTTTCAGGTACTCCAGAGGTGGACACAGGAGGATCAAGAGTTTAAGGCCTGCCTGGGCTACATAGGGAAACCCTGTCTCAAAAATCCAAAAGAAAAAATGAGATTTCAGATGTTTTGTGTTTGGGACTAAGTAGAATATTTGCAGTACTGGGGTTTGAACTCAGGACCTTCACCTTGAGCTAGTCCACCAACCCTTTTTTGTGTTGAGTATTTTTGAGATAGAGTTTCTCAAACTATTTGCCCAGGCTGGCTTAGAACTGCAGCCCTCCTGATCTCTGCCTCCTGAGTAGCTATTTGAATCAGAAGGCTACTTATTTTAAGTAGCAAGTTCTAATTGTTGAACTGGAACAAGAATAGCTTGTTACCTGTGATAACACTTTGTTTTCCAGACTCGTGGTAAGAATACAATGGATTTTCTTTATTAATATCATTAAATACAAGTCAATGCCATGCAAGAATAGTAGGCCATGCTTGGGGTTTTATAAATGAAATTAGGTTAAAATAATAAATGCAACTTACTCAGCTACTTTTCTGTACGGTAAGTGCTATAGGTAAGGAAGAAAAACTTGAATGAAACTCCAATTATGTCACCTGCCAGATACATGGCCTTGGATGAGTTGTTCAACTTTAAGAAGTTTTGTTTTCTTCCTCTGTTTAAAAAAAAGACAAAACTGAAAAACAGTTTTAATCGTCAACCTAAGAATGTTTTTTAGGAATAGTAATCATAATTATAAAGCATCTAGCACAGTACCTGGCAAACAGTAGGTAAAAAGTAAATATTAAGAGTTATTTTATATGTTATTTCTGTACTAAGTATACGGTCTCAGGAGTGTAATTTGATTATATTGTCTTGTTTTTTACATTTTTCAGTCTTGGGATGATCCTAGGATGAAATTTTTTTTTTTTATCACTTTGATTTCATAAAACATGACTCATTTTATGAGCCTTTACTTACCTGATGAAATTGGGCTAAAAGTATTAATCAAAGACTGTGAAATAATTATTTAGCTCCTTTGTCTTCCCCATAACCCTAGATTATTTTTTTAGAATTATTAAAATGTTTTTAAACGATAATGACATTTCACAGCCAAAAGTTTTTAAAACTGTATTGTAAAACAAAGCAATTTGTCGGGGCCGGGGCGGGGTGGCGGGGGGGAGGCAGTATTGGGTTTTGAATGCAGGGCTTCACACTTGTGAGGCATGTGCTCTACTGCTTGAGCTACGCCTCCAGCAAACAAAATCCAAAGGTGACATCTCTTAAAATATTTTCAACTATAAAAAGGTACGCTAGCAACTTTGTTATTTTATGTAAACAAACCTGATTTTGTCAAATCCTTTTTGACTTTCTCCCCCCCTTCAGCAGCTTTCTGTTAATATCTAAAAAGAGTCAGTGAATGCTAAGGGACTGCTGGATGAGGAACAGTATTTTGAGCTTAGCATTTATACATTTTAGAAATAGCCAGCCTCAGAACTTTTGCATTTCTAGTATTTTATTGCCATTTTGCCTTTATTGATGAGTGCAATAGACAAAAGCATTCAATTGATTTTTTTTCAGTAACTTTTCAAAATTGATTTGACTGAAGCTTTGACAAAACTGCTGCTCCAGAAGAAAAGCCAGAATGCTGTAGTCTGCTTAGCATCTTGGCTTCTTTGTGTCAGTAGTTGTTGGACCACTGAAGAGACGCTTCAAGAAATACAGCTGCAGGATCCCAGAAATAATAATAGCAAGGCTCTGGGCTGCTGACCACCAGTTCACATAGGCATGGTTTGATTGGAGAAGGAAAAGGTCAGCCGTTTGCCTCATCCTGGCAAAGTTGTAGAATCGCCACATGTGAAAGACATTGTTCTGCACCCTTTGTGAACTATCCTGTGGAAAAAGGAGATAAAAGAAAGGAATCCCCTCCCTCCCATTCTTATGTGGGTACTTGCCAGCACTAAGTTATCTAGAAGTCAAATAATTCACTCATGATTGTAACTGTACTACTTAGGGTTGGTGATACATCCTACTTTTTTTGGTTTAGACTATAGTTTTTTGGGGGGGAAGATAGAGATGCTCAGTGAGTGCTTGTCTACCATGTGCAAGGTGCTGGGTTCAGTTCTCTACTCTCCCTCCCCCCACCCCCTTGCAAGAAAAAAAGGCCCAAACTCAGGGCTTCACACACTAGGGAAACACTACCACTGAGCTACATCTCCAACCCCCAAAATTTTAACATTGAAAAAATTTATTGTATTCTAACTAGGAGCTCTTCCACAGATCTCTAGGCAGGTGCTGTGCAACTTGAGCCATCCCCCCAGCCCTCCACAGATCATCTCTAGATTTGAACATGTACTCAGCACATTGTTACCCTTCTAAGTGATGAGGTCTGCCTGCAGGTTCTGTGTTAAGGAGGTTTCGCTATTGTAGCACCAAAGCAGCCCTGAATAATGTGTAATTGTCAAATACACATGGCTGTGTTCCAGTAAAACTTACATTTACAAAACAGTGAGTGAGCTTTTTATACACTGTGGAGACTATACAAAGTGGAAGGACAGGTACTGGAGGCGTGGCTCAAGCAATAGGGCAACTGCCTCCTAAGCACAAAGCCCTGAGTTCAAGCCCCAGGACTAAAAAAATGGGAGAAAATATCTATAAATCATGTCTGACCAGGGACTTGAATTCAGAATATGTAAGTAAAACTAAAATAAAAAGTTTTTTTTTCTTGAACTCAGGTTCTTGTGGATGTTGGGCATGCACTGTACCACTGAGCTAACTCCCAGTTTTGAAATGGGCAAAGGATTAGAATAGACATTTCCCAGAGAAGATACACACATGGTCAGTAAAGCACATGAAAAGATATTTAATCATTAGGGAAATTAACACAAGATGCCACTTCACACCCAGTAGGATGGGTATAATAGACAACAGCAAGTGTTAGGGAAGTAGGAATGGGAACCCTCCTAACTGCTTGTGGCGGGATGAAATGGCTCGGCCACTATGAAATGCAATTTGGTGGTTCCTCACAATGTTAAACAGTTGCATGAACCACCATTTCCACTTTTAAGTATACAGAAATGAACGTTAACACAAAAGTTCCTATGCAAGTTTCACCGCAACATTGTGATAACCAAAAGATGGAAACAACCCAAATATCCACCACCTGATGAGTGCATAAGCAAAAGTGTATGTGTACAGTAGGACATCTGACCATAAAAAAGGAATGAATAAAGTGCCCATAATGCTAAGTGGGTGGGCCTACATGCCAAGTAAAAGAAGCCCATCACAAAAGACCACATATGATTCCATTTATGTGAAGTGTAAATAGGTTCAGTCTATAGAAACAGAATTTAGTGATTGTCAGGGCTGCAGGGTCTTGGGGTGCGGTGGAAGGAGAGTGGTGAATGGGTACAGGGCTTCATTTGGAGGTGATAAAATTGTTCTGGATTAGATGCTGGGGATGTGGTTGCACAACTTGTGTATATACTAAAAAACATTTAATTGTTAGTGGATAATATGGTATATAAATTATACCTCAAATTAAAAAAAAAAATAGCTGGGTATCCTAGCCATTTAGGTTGAGATTGGGCAGATCATGGTTCAAGGCTAGCCTACAAAATAGTTCATGAAACTCCCAAATAACCAGAGGAGCACTGGAGGTGTGGCTCAAGTGGTAGAGCACCTGCTTTGCAAGCGTAAAGTCCTAAGTTCAAACCTCAGTCCCACCAAAAAAATAAAGAAGTAAAAAACAACCAGAGCAGCCAGGTGCACTTGATGGCTCCTGCTTGTGATCCTACCTACTCATGAGGCAGAGATCAAGAGGATCGAGGTTCAAAGCCAGCCTGAGCAAATAGTTCTTGAGACCCTATCTTAAAAAATATCCAACACAAAACAGGGCTGGCAGAGTGGCTCAAGTGGTAAGAGTTCCTGCCTAACAAGTGCGAGGCCCTGAGTCCAAACTCCAGAACTACCCAAAAAATAACAACCAGAGCAAAATGCACTGGAGGTGTGGCTTGGTAGAGCACCTGCTCTGTGAGTTCAAAACCCTGTCTTACCCAAAAAAGAAAAGGTAGTGGCCAGATTTGGCCTGTGAGCCATGATTTGCCCATCCTTCATATTAAAATAGGAATTTCAAGAGCTCCAAGTCATAAACATTAAATGATTCAAATCTCTTGTCTGATTTCTACCTGTATGAGTCCTTAGTGAATATTACTCTCATACTTTTTATATCTCTCCTCCAAATTTAATACCAGTTCCCAGGGGTGTTTTCTCCCACAAAACACTATTACCTCAATTGCATCCAGAGTATCATTAAGTTGTTTTCTTTGACTCTGTTTGTGGTCCATCTCCAGTCCCTCATAGAAGATGCCAAAGTTGAGGTACACTTGCACAGAACCAAAGTGATTTTGGTCATTTTTAAGACAAAGCTGATAGAAACCTGTAGGAATTCCAGATCATTACCAAGTCTTTGTTCTCCCACCCTGTCATAAGTTTACAAATTTCCTCTCTATATACCTGTCCCTCAGATTTGTTTACTTTTTTTTTTTATGGTACTAGGGTTTGAACTCAGGGCCTACACCTTGAGCCATTCCACCAGCCCTTTTTTGTGATGGGTTTTTTTATTTTTGTTTTTATTTTTTATTATTCATATGTGCATACAAGGCTTGGGTCATTTCTCCCCCCTGCCCCCACCCCCTCCCTTACCACCCACTCCACCCCCTCGATACCTGGCAGAAACTATTTTGCCCTTATCTCTAATTTTGTTGAAGAGAGAGTATAAGCAATAATAGGAAGGAACAAGGGTTTTTGCTGGTTGAGATAAGGATAGCTATACAGGGAGTTGACTCACATTAATTTCCTCTGTGTGTGTGTTACCTTCTAGGTTAATTCTTTTTGATCTCACCTTTTCTGTAGTTCCTGCTCCCCTTCTCCTATTGGCCTCAGTTGCTTTTAAGGTATCTGCTTTAGTTTCTCTGCGTTAAGGGCAACAAATGCTAGCTAATTTTTTAGGTGTCTTACCTATCCTCATATCTCCCTTGTGTGCTCTAGCTTTTAGCTTGTGATCAAAGTTCAATCCCCTTGTGTTTGCCCTTGATCTAATGTCCACATATGAGGGAAAACATACGATTTTTGGTCTTTTGGGCCAGGCTAACCTCACTCAGAATGATGTTCTCCAATTCCATCCATTTACCAGCGAATGGTAACATTTCGTTCTTCATGGCTGCATAAAATTCCATTGTGTATAGATACCACATTTTCTTGATCCATTGGTCAGTACTGGGGCATCTTGGCTGTTTCCGTAACTTGGCTATTATGAATAGTGCCGCAATAAACATGGGTGTGCAGGTGCCTCTGGAGTAACCTGTGTCACAGTCTTTTGGGTATATCCCCAAGAGTGGTATTGCTGGATCAAATGGTAGATCAATGTCTAGCTTTTTAAGTAGCCTCCAAATTTTTTTCCAGAGTGGTTGTACTAGTTTACATTCCCACCAGCAGTGTAAGAGGGTTCCTTTTTCCCCCGCATCCTCGCCAACACCTGTTGTTGGTGGTGTTGCTAATGATGGCTATTCTAACGGGTGAGGTGGAATCTTAGTGTGGTTTTAATTTGCATTTCCTTTATTGCTAGAGATGGTGAGCATTCTTTCATGTGTTTTTTGGCCATTTGAATTTCTTCTTTTGAGAAAGTTCTGTTTAGTTCACTTGCCCATTTCTTTATTGGTTCATTAGTTTTGGGAGAATTTAGTTTTTAAGTTCCCTATATATTCTGGTTATCAGTCCTTTGTCTGATGTGTAGCTGGCAAATATTTTCTCCCACTCTGTGGGTGTTCTCTTCAGTTTAGAGACCATTTCTTTTGATGAACAGAAGCTTTTTAGTTTTATGAGGTCCCATTTATCTATGCTATCTCTTAGTTGCTGTGCTGCTGGGTTTTCGTTGAGAAAGTTCTTACCTATACCTACTAACTCCAGAGTATTTCCTACTCTTTCCTGTATCAACTTTAGAGTTTGGGGTCTGATATTAAGATCCTTGATCCATTTTGAGTTAATATTGATATAGGGTGATATATGTGGAGCTAGTTTCAGTTTTTTGCAGACTGCTAACCAGTTTTCCCAGCAATTTTTGTTGAAGAGGCTGGTTTTTCTCCATGTGATGGGTTTTTTAAAGATAGGATCTCATAAACTGTTTGCCCGGGTGGGCTTTGAACTGTGATCCTACTGATCACTGTCTCCTGAGTAGCTAGGATAACAGGCATGAGCCACTGGTGCTCAGGTTGTTTTATTTTCATTTTTTTATTTAAGACCTCACAATGTAGCCCAGGCTGGCCTGGAACTGCTTGTCCTCCTACTTCAGCTTCCTGAGTGCTGACATTACAGGTATGTAACACCACACCCAGCTTCTCAGTTTTAAAATTGCCAGTATAATGCTTTTTTACTTAGGAAGTACAAAAACTTTCTGTTTTGGCAAAAAGGATGCTGGTCTTACATGCAACTTATTTTACTGAATATTAGCAATAATTACCTTTTAATAAAGGTAGTTTATTTAGTTCAGTACTGGGTAGAAAAGAGTTCTTGCTCTTCCAACCTGTAATTCCCACATCTTTTACTGAGGAACTCCTGCTCAACAGATTGAGTTGAAACTAAGAACATAATATTTGCCTTTTTCTTTGCTCCATTAGAACTGGGCAAACTATCTTGAAACCAGGGGAAAAGTTGATGCCTTATGAATAAAAGAAATGCCCTAAATGGAGTGATTGGCTCCAAGGTGTTCTGTTCAGTGACTGATGTTTGGGGTTTCTATTAGAGGCATTTTGAATTGAGAACACCAGTGTCACCTCTCTTTGTGTATGGTGGTGGTGGAGGAATTGGTGGTAGAATTAGAAATGTGTGGCAATTTTTGAAAGTCTCAATGATTGGAATGCCCTTCTGGCATGTTGGGGCCAAACACGCTAAATATCCTTTAATACTGAGTGAGTACCTTGTGGGACCAGTGTGAGTCCTCAGTGAAAGATCTGATGAAGGACTGTCTGATGCCTTTGTTGGGAAACATCTGGCTAATAAAGAGAGCAGTTAAGACTGGCTTGCTGCTCATGTAGGCAGGCTTGATCTGACTGTAGGAGTTTTCAGCTGGAGGAGAGCTTTGTGGTGGTGGGTGAGTATCTCACATGGACATGCATTTCCTTTTGTTCTAAATCTGCTTTTAGTAACTGGCTGAAGTATTCTGATGACTGGAAAGAAATGTTACCCTTTAATAAATTTATTAATTAGATTCTATATTACAAATGGTCTCTGTTTTAGTCACATTCCCAGAATCTGATCAATTGGAAGATGATGAGATTAAAAAAAATTGAGCTTCTGGACCTTGGAATTTTAAGGGTCACTTTGAGACTCTGCCCCCAAACTGCCACTGGACTGCTACTTGATATTCTAGATATCAGTGGTTTCCAGGAACATGGGGTTAGTGTTGAAGGCTGAATTTTTTCACTATTTTTCCAACTTCATAGAAACCCGTGATTATTATAATAGCTGTTGGGAAGGAAACAGACCTGTTTCTTGGGTAGCAAAGTTAATCTGGCCCCGAACATCCTGGGAGGTGTCTATGAGGAATCCCCGTGGGGTATGTGCGGTGGCAGAAACATGCCCATCATGTGACATCCCAAGTATCCGCTGAACCTGCCAAGACCATTAAAGAGGGAGAAAAGGCCCTGCTCCATCACTGAGAAGCCAGCAAGTTGGTAAGATTGACATCCCATCATCATTGGCCCAGTGGTTCCATCTGTGATACTACTGCCCACCCAACTTCTTCCTCAGAGTCTGGAATTGAGGGGACTTTTTAGTTGTCACAATCATGATGTATAGGAGGAAACACATCAACACTGAGCTTTCTGCAATGTCAGACACAGATCTGTAGGACAAAGAATCTCCCAGAATGCTGACAGCCCCCCCCCGCTGAGGAAGAAAGTATGTCTCCTGCCATAAAGCTGTCATGATCAGTTGATAGGAGGAGTTCTTGGTGAGCTTGCTTGACTGTTGAGCTCCTGATGGTGACCCAGATTTGGGTGTTTGCTGCTTGACAACCAGTGCCCACAGCAGGCACTCCATGGACAATGTCCCCAAACTGGATAAGCCCTAGCTATAGTAAGCTGACTAGTAGCTACTGTTCTAATATGAAATCAGAGATAAGAAAAAGCTCTGGTAAGTTCATTTAAAATAAGTTACAGTGGAGTAGAGTAAGATTAACATAGTCTATTACTATGTAAACAAAAATTAGAAAGTTAAAAGGTTTCTTAGATAAAGAACGAAGGAAACAGCTGCTAACTTTAATATTGAGTTCACCTTTCTTTGCAGTATGGTATAAAACCACAGGATGGGTGAAAGTGCTTGACTGAGGGACAGATAATTTGAACACATTTACCTTCCTAAAAGAAACAGGCTTGAAGTTACATGCCAGTGGCTCACGCCTGTAAACCTAGCTACTCAGGAGGCAGAAATCAGGAAGAGTGCAGTTCAAAGCCAGCCTGAGCAAATACTTTGTGAGACCCTATCTCTAAAATACCCAACAACAAAAAGGCGCCTGATGGAGTGGTTCAAGAGGTAGAGCACCTACCTAGAAAGCCTGAGTCCCTGAGTTCAAACCTTAGTACCACAAAAAGATAGTAAATAAATTAAAAAAGCAAGATTGTCTGGCTGCATAGAGAAACCTTGGCCCAGTGATTCTCCAGTTTGGCGGCATTACTGCTAAAGACAAGAATGCATGTTGTCTCCCCACCCCAATTAACTAAAACCATTGTCTCTGAAATCTGGGTCAGTCTCCAAAAATCATGTGACTTTTTGATTTGATTTTGTGCTATCTCGTTTTTCTTTTTTTTTTTCTTTGTGGTACTTGGGTTTGAACTCAGGGCCGCACACTTGCTAGGCAGGCACTCTACCACTTGAGTCACTTCACCAGCCCTGTTTTGTGTGGGGCATTTTCAAGATAGGGTCTCAAGAACTATTTGTCCTGCTGGCTTTGAACCTTGATTCTCCCGATCTCTGCCTCCTGAGTAGTTAGGATTACAGGTGTAAGCCTCCGGCACCCAGCTCCATGTTGTTTCTATATTTTAAAAATACATTCTGTCTCCTCTCATCCCCAAATTGGAGTTAGGGGATGGTTAGCTCTTCAGAGGGAAGCACAGTTTTTCCATGGTTTTGTGTACACTCTGTAGATCCTGGTTTGAGAAGCCAAGCCATATGCTTTCGCTCCTGTTGGTTATTCATTCAGCTTTCACAGAGTTGCCCCTGATTGCAGTTCCATTTCATTAACAGATTAGTGTCACAATATGATAGACAACCAGACCTTGGTTTAGTCTAAAACCTGACTCACTTCTCAAAAGGCAAAAAAAAGTCTCCAGTATAGCCAGAGGAACTCACATACCTCATAACTGAAATAGAAATATCCAGTCTGGTGGGCAAATTGCCAGAAGCATTCCGAGCCTCCTGGAGGGATCATGATGGCAAAGTCATGGCGATCAGCTCCATGGAAGAGTGGTTGGTCCCCAGAGCTGCTTAGGGAGTCTGCCTTCTGACTTCCAGTGGAAGTCACTAGACTCAGAACCACCAGTCCAGCCTGGAGGAGCAAAGGGGACATGCTGCTTTCTGTAGTCACCTCTGCAGGTGAGCAGCTTGCAGCCCTGTGGAATAAGAAGTTGAGACAAATTCTGGGTTAATCATTAACTTCACAAGTCTTATTTAGGCCCACTTCAGGGCCATGTGTGGAGGTGCCATAACAGAACTGCCTCAGGACTCCCATGTTTGGCTCACAGGAACAGTTTTTGCTTTCACCCAAAAACTTAAGTGCCTTCCTGAATCTACTTCATGGTAGGAATCAGAATCTACCACATCAGAAGAGATTTCCATCCATTCTTTGGGCTGTTGTTTTTGGTTCTTGTTTCTTGGGGATAAATTGGGCAAATTCATGTAAAGCCACCTGAATGTACTGACAAAAGTTGGCTGGGGAAATATTCTTATGTCAAATTGCTACATGAGGCCTAGTGTGTGTGTGTATTTTAAATATATATATATTATTTATAAATATACATACATGTGTGTGTGTGTGTATATACGTATTTTCTTGGAGGGGGTTTGAACTCGGGACCTCAAGCTTGTAAGGCAGGCACTCTTACCATTTAAGCCACTCCACCAGACCTATTTTGTGATGGGATTCTTTGAGATAGGGTCTCAAGAACTATTTGCCAAGGCTGGCTTCAAACCACCATTCTTCTGATCTCTGCATCCTGAGTAGCTAGCATTACAGGTGTGAACCACTGGCATCCAGCTCTATTGTGCCTATAAAACAGGTGTTTTAACAATACCTGTTTCAACAGACTTCTTCCTGCGCAATGCTACAGCTTAAATCAAAGCACAGTATGTATGTATAAATGTATGCAAAGCTTTGTTTTGTTTCAGGGCTGTCTGCCTATTCTACCACTTGAACCATGCCCCCAGTCCTTTTGCTTCCAGCTTTTTTTTTCTGATAGGGTTTCATGCTGTTGCTTGGGCCAGACTCCACCTGTGATTCTCGTACCTCTGCTTCCCCAGTAGGTAACAGGCATGTACCACCAATCTCCACATGCAAAAGTTTTGCTTTTTTGTGGGCAGCATCAGGGTTTGAGCTCAGGGCCTTGTGCTTGCTAGGAAAGTGCTCTTCCATTTGAGCCACACAGCCAGTCCTCCAGCATACAAAGTTTTAATGAATGATGAAAACTATCAGTTTTCCACTGACAGTCCTTTTCACTCTGCCAATTTCCATCTGCTGATGCATTTATTTAAAGCTATCAAAAATCAGCCATGCATGCATGGTGACTCATGCCTAATTACTAAGGAGGCAGAGATTCGGATTATGGTTCGAGGCCAGTCTGGGCAAAAAGTTCATGAGACTCCCATCTCAAGCAGTGGCACGTGCCTGTCATCCCAGCTGTTGTGGGAAGCATAAATAGGAGGTTCATAGTCCAGGCTAGCCTGGGCATAAGTGGGAGACCCTACTTGGAAAACAACTAGAGCAAAAAGGGCTGGAGGCATGATTCAAGTGGTAGAGTGCCTTTCTATCAAGTGCAAGGTCCTTGAATTCCAACTCCAGTATAATCAAAAAACAAAACAAGATAAAGCTATCCAAAACCCACTTTTTTTTTCTTTTATTCATAACTTCTTCAGCACCCATAGTGGGTGGGGAAGCTATCCAAAACATGGAGCCTGTTATATTAACACCCACTGGCCTTATGGCAGGCACTGAGCTAAGAAACTTACCGACATCTTTTATTCTCACAATAGCACTAGAGGAAGACACTGTGACCTACTACAGGAGAGATGAGATTTGCATGGCTTACAGTCCCACAAGAACAGCTGGTCAGGCACTGGTGGCTCACGCCTGTAATCCTAGCTACTCAGGAGGCAGACATCAGGAAGATAGAGGTTCAAAGACAGCCCTGACAAATAGTTTGTGAGTATCTTGAAAAAAGCCTTCACAAAAAAGGGTTGGTGGAGTGGCTCAAGGTGTAGGCTGAGTTCAAACCCCAGTACCACCAAAAAAAAAAAAAGTTTTGTTTTTGAGACAGGGTCAGGCTGGCCTGAAATTCGTGATCCTCCTGGCTCAGTCTTCCAAGTGCTGACATTACAGGCATACACCACCACACCCAGATTCTAAGCATTTTTATTTCAGCAAGTCTTAAAAACAAAACTGCATTAGTACCTTCTCACCTGGAATTGGTTCAGAATTTACTGCACTGACTCCAAATGTCACAGCTAATAAGCAGAGAACAGACTTCCTAAATGGGGTCCAGTTCCAGTGACAGCCAGATGGCTTCTCAGCACTTGGGAGTCTTGGTTGTTCTGTGAAGTCTTGCTAAAGTGAAGGCAGGAGAGCGTGAGACCCTTGCATTCAGCAAGGACATAGTTGTCCCCAGCCAAGTCCCACTGGTGCCACCATCCTAACACCACTCATTTCATGAGCAGCAAGTGGCTTCAGCTAAATAACCATCAGTTCTGTAGTTCTATAGTTCTACAGAAGCCCAGAGTTCTGTTTGTACATACGTCGGTACACTATAGTAACAGCACTGAAGCTATGTGGAAAATGTAAATGGACCTATGTGTGTCATGTCTCGTTTACCAAGTACTGATTAGGTATTCTTAATCATTTAGGGTTCCCTAAATGCATGCGTTTCACTCTTCTGCCCTGAAAGAGCCTTCTTAACCATGTGAAAGTCGAGGGGAAGAAAAGTGGACTATAATCAGGTTTGGAGGGAGACCACAGCTAGCTACAGCCAAAGGTAACTATGCCATCAGGAGCACCACTTCCTTTTCCCTGTGACTCATTTGGGGTGGCTTGACAGAAAAACTGTATTAAGCCCCAAGACACATAGTTAATAGGTAATAAATCTGGGCAAAGTTTCCAACTTTTAACCAAAGATAAATCACGTGGTAGAGCCACCAGCCTAGAAAGTGCAGAAAGTCCTGAGTTCAAACCCCAGTACCACCAAAAAAAAAAGTTAAGAAGGGAGCCAGGTGCAAGTGACTTTCGCCTGTAATTCTAACTACTTGGGAGGCTAAAATCAGGAGGATCAAGGTTCGAGGCCAGCCCAAAAGACCTCATCTCAACCAGTAGCTAGGCATGGTAGCAAGAGCCTGTCATCCCATGTTATAGGGGAGGCTGCTTAGAGCCAGAGGATTGGGATTCCAGGCCAGACTAGGCAAAAACATTTGCGACACCCCAACATAAAAAAGCAGGGCATGGTGGCCTAAGCCTGACATCCCAGCAATGGTGAGAAACATAAAATGGGAAGACCCTATCTCCAAAATACCCAGAGCAAAAAGGGCTGGAGGCATGGCTCAAGCCTTGCAAGCTGGAAGCCTTAGGTTCAAACCCAGTATTGCCAAGAAAAGAAAACGTCAAGAAGAGGAAATTCTTTAGTCTCTAGGAAAAGGATGTCATGTGGGGAAATGGACAAATGAAAAGGAAACTTCCATGATTTGTCTGATATGGCTGCCAAGGATTAGACCATCCAGCAGTTTCTCATCAGCTTCTTTGATTAATGTAGTTCAGAAAAGTTTATCATGTGAACACATGCTGTGCTGCAATTAAACATCTACTTCAAACTGAGAGAAGCAGGACTTTAATGAAGAATGCTACAAGTATGGACAATAATTAGCTCTCATTTTTAAAAAAGATTACAGAAAACACTTTACTGAATTTTTTTGCTAAAAAGACAGTCTGTAAGGATGTGAGAAAGACAGCAAGCACAACACAGTACAAAAGGAGAAGGGAATGTTGAATTCCAGTACAAGACATAAACAGCACTATTAGGGAATCAGGTGGAAGCAACCATCTCACAAAAAACGGAATTAGGCATTTATATTCAATCAGGACTTTTTTTTAAGCTTTAAAAGCACAGCATAAAGAAGGAAACTAGAAGGAGTGGTGGGGAAGGGGCTAAGCTTATCTACAATCACCATTTTACCAAAAAACCACACTGTTTCAACCACAAAAAGTGGAGGATAAGCCTGCCGACATAGCCCGGCACATATTAAGAGCAAATGCAAGGCAGCTGGATTTAGGGTTGACGTCACAAGTGGCTTAACAGTTTTTAAAAGGAATCTGATTCCGTAAGGACTGGTCTCTCATCAACCTGGGCTTGTAAGAGACGGAATTCCTTCACGTTTGCGTCAGAAGGCCAAAACTTTACCTGGAACAAGTTCACTTCAGATAATACTCATGTTGCTGGTTTTAACAGGTCATGGAGACATAAGTGGCTCCTAATAGACTCCATCATTTCCTAGGAGAAGGTTCTACAGATTACTGGGGATTTAAATTTAAGCAAACCACTAAAGAAAGGAAACACTAATGACATTCTGGCACTGTACAAGCTGTGTGCCCATCATCTCTGCCAAGGGCAGGGGCAGGCTTGGCTTTGCCTCTTAGTTCCATGATCTCCAACAGTAATGAAGTGGACGGGGAACCTGCCCACACTGAAGGAGGATGCCCAAAATTCTCATTCCAGGCCAGCTTCTGAAGGAAACAGCAGACTATCAGGGACTATCGTTAGAAACCATGCTCCTGTGATTCTGTGGAAACAAAAGCCTGTTCAGTTCATGCCAAGTTTTTTCATGGTCCGCCAGCGATCCTTAATCATCACAGCTGTTCGATTAACAAAGGGGTAATTTTTAGAGATGACAGCCCAGTTTCCTTCCCCGTATTTCTGCACGCCAGCTCTGATCCACTCGCTTTCTTCTGTAGTCCACTTCTGCAAAAGACAACAAAAAGAATTATCAAAACCTGTCTCCACCTACGTCTCCAATACAGTGATGAGGTAAACTCAAGAGACTAATCTGAACCCAAAAGCAGGCTTTATATTTTTAAAACATGGTATAGAGAGTAATGAATGCTGTAGATACGGACATTTAGTATAATTATCAATGTCCTGCCATTTCATTCTCAATTAATAGTTACTTCTGCAAACTTCAAAGGTATGTATGTTGCTCATGATCCACGAAATGTGTCAGGCTCTGACCTCTCAGATTTTTCATTTTCACAATAACTATTACTTGAACTTACAGAATTATCTCAAGAGATTTTTATCAGGCACATGGTAGTCTGCCTATGAGGAGATTTATCTATCCCTGTTCTCCCTACAAAACTTGCATCAGAAAGTTTTAAGTTACCTGCTTTCTTGTTATACTGGTTGCACTGTCTTCATCTGGTGCTGCTGGAAAACATTAAAAGTAGAGTCATTTTAGAGTTCACCTTTCTCTGCACAAGCCACAAGAAGAAAATAGACAATGTCCCCAAAGGGAAAACTTGATCCAATTTCACAAACATTGAGGGCTACTGTATCAGTGATAAGTACTTGCCTAGCATCAAACCCACAAACACTAAGAAGAGAAAGGACATGACTAAAGGACAATTTATTTTTGTCCTTTGTTTGCAAACCCCAGTCATTTTAGCCCATGAGAATCTGTATAAAGAAGTGCTTCCAATAAATGTTGGTTAATGTTGGATTGTAAGCTTTTAGTAAAGACATCATTTTCTACAATAACTGAGGAATTATCATATCTAAACCTGAGGGATGAAGATGTGGCTCAAGCAAGTACAGGCCCTAAGCTCAACCCAGGTACCTCCAACCCCTCTCCATTCCCCCCAAAAAATTCTTGGCTAGGCATGGTGATGGTGTCTAAAGCTTGTAATCATAGCTGTTCAGGAGGTGGATATTGGGAGGATTGCAGTTGGAGTCCAACATGGGCAAAATGCCTACGAAATCTCTTATCAACCAACTGTAGTATGCACCTCTCTTCCCAGCTACTCTGGAAAGTGTAAGTAGGATCACAATCCAGGCCACCCAGGTATAAAGCCAGACCCTATCAAAATATAGCCAATGCAGACTAAAGGTGTGGCTCAAGTGGTAGAGCTCCTGCTTTGCAAACATGAAGCCCTGTGTTCAAACCCTAGTTCCACCAAAATAAAATAAAAATAAAAATAAAAATAGTAGCACTTGTGTTTTTGTTTAATTTGTGGACAAAGACTTACAGACAGGTGCAAAAAATAAATCCTCTTTTGCAACCCAGAACTCATTGTACAGTATGAGTTTTGATACATATAAGAAGAAATATGGTAAAAAGAAAAAAAGAAAAAATAAATATCAAGTACAAAGTCCTGAGGTTCAAGCCCCATTACTGCCAAAATAATAATAATAATATTTAATAATAATCAATGCAAAAAGGGCTGGCAGAGTGGCTCAAGCCACTTAGCAATTGTGCCTATTTAGCAAGTGTGAGGCCCTGAGTTCAAACTCCAGTACTGCCAAAAATAAATAAAACAAAACCTTAATATAGGGATGAGGGGGTAGCTCAGGGGTAGGGCACTTGCCTAGCATGCATAAGGCCTTGGGGTCCAACTGCCTGCACCACAAAAATTCTTTTTTTAACCTTAATAAATCCAGGGAATGACTTAACTACCTTTTCTTTTCCTTTTTTTCCCCAGTACTGGAGCTTCAACTCAGGGCCTACACATGAGCCACTCCACCAGACCTTTTTTGTGATGGATTTTGAGATAGGGTCTCCCAGAACTATTTGCCTGAGCTAGCTTAGAACCACAATCCTTCTGATCTTTGCCTCCTGAGTATCTAGGATTACAGGTGTAAGCCACCAGCTGGTTTACTACCTTTTCTGATTAAAGGACTTTAGAAAGAACATGACCTATGATTAAATACTCTAGGGTTTATTAAAAAAAAAAAAAAACTGGAACTTTCTTTAAACATGAAGTGCTGCTTTGACATTCTCCATTGTTTTGTGAGGTCAGACACTTATTACCCTTTTCTAATTCACAGATACTAGTACAAGTATCTGCAAATATTTTAGCAAATACTTTAGAGAGCATCAAGAAGCCTAGGATAATCTGCTGCTTACCCTGAACTTGAAACAGTTCGTCTTCTTCCGTCCAACTCTCTTTTTCTTCAACCCCATTAGAGCTGTTCCACTTGCCTTTGGATACTCTGAGGGGAGATGAATGAGGATAGGTGTGAAACGTTCATCCCAGCCATCCCAAGTTCTGACTTTGGCTCACTCATAGCACTCTTTTGGGGTTTGCCACACACAGCTCACCAAATTCTACTGTCCTGTTCCTGGGCTGGCCAAGCATATTCACATGAACATCCCCCAGACTGCAGGACCATCCCTCAAACGTAGCACTAAATACATCACCATCTCCCTAAACTGTTCATTTTCCTGTTTGTGTTTGTTAGTTGGTTGGTTCTGATTTTTTTTTTTTGAGACAGGAGCTCACACTGGCCTAGAATTCATGATCCTTCTGCCTCTGCCTCTTAAGTGCTGGCATTACAGATGTGTGCTATCGTACCTGAAGTTCTGGCTCTCAAAGATCTCAGCATTCTTTTAACTTAGAATGTGCCAACTCCTCCCTCTCTTTTATAACCATGCTTCTCTCTAGACTGACATCATTTCCCTCTTCATTCCTTTAAGTTCAAGCCTAAGGATTTATCCTAGTCTCTTTCCCTTCCACAGTCAACTTACTTAAAATATTACCACATCCCTCCTCTATACTGTGGGGGCTTCTTCTGCCTAACCAATGGAGCCTAAATGCCTACATGGTCTGTTGGTCCCTGGCAGTTTCCTACCAAGAGCCCTACCACATCCACACTACCCCCTACACAGGTACTTTCCTGCCTCTTCATATCCTGCTCCCTCTGTCTGGGAGTACTTTCCCTGCCCAGTGAACTCCTAGCTACCTTTCAAGAACATCATACCTAGTGATACCTCCTCTTACTACTAACCCCACTACAGAGAGAGCCCCCACTCCTCTATCCCATGGTACACTGCTTCCATTTTATAAATGGCTATTTCACAGTGACCACGAACTACTCAAAGGCAGGGGCCATGTCTTCATCTGTCTACCCCAAACTTCTTGTAGGTAACACACATCATAAGTGGGAGATATGCTAGCTAAACTAATATTGGGGCTATCAAAGTGTCACAAAGGAATTATATCCTTAAAGATTAGAGTAATAAGAAAATAATCCTTCCTATAAACAAGAATGCTAAGTACTTGGGTACTTAGCCACCCCACCCCCCAAATTCTCATTGTTGAACTATATCCCACACTCAAATTACTAAGTGAAAATGACATTCTTCCTCTTCTAATCAACTTTAACAGTAATTACCTGATTAGTAATTAACTGCCCTGGGGACAGAACACAGCACAAATCTGACCTCAGAATTACAACAAATATCTTTTGCAAAACATGGGAAGTGTCTGCTATAGAGAAGAATTTATAGAGATCAAAATGACCTGTAAAAGTTGACAGAAGCAGAAACCAATCTCTTCTCTGGTAGGAAAAAGAAACTTGTTTTTAATGCTGTCTGGGTAAAATGCAAATGAGTAAAAAGAATTTGGTTAGTAAGTATACAGGCTTGAAAAAATTCCTTGAGGTTCCTAAGTATTCTTTTTGGTTTTTTTTGGTCTTGGGGGTTGAATTCAGGGCCTATACCTTGAGCCATTCCACCAGCCCTTTTCTGTGATGGGTTTTTCTGATAGGGTCTCACAAACCATTTTGCCCAGGCTGGCCTCACACCTTGATCCTTCTGATCTCTGCCTTCTGAGTAAATAGGATTATAGGTGTGAGCCATCAGTGCCAGCTCCTAAGTTTTCTAAGAAATTATTTAAATAGTGATTTCTAAGAAATAACCTGGCAACGTACATTATTCTTAAAATGGATCATCTCTCGTAATGTTGAGAACCATTTGCTTGAGACAAAGTGAAAAACATTTACATGTGGTTTTCCCTTCTCAGGATATTACTATTATTTTCTTTTTCTTTTTTCTGATGCCTCATGCATGCTAGGTAAGTGCTCTTCTACTAAGCTATACAGCCCAGCCCCTGTGTTACTTTCAATAAACAAGTCAGATGGGTCATAGTTTAAGTTTTTATCTATTTATCCCAGTTTTTAGCATAAAGCCAGTTTGGACCTGGGTTCCCTGATGGCCCCGTGTGTCCTAAGTAGCTGTTCTCTCTTCCTTTTGTCTGTGCAGGTCACTTTAGTTAGTATTACCACCTGTACAAAGGTTTTAGTAGTTACTGCTGGGGTGTAGGAGCTTGTGAAGATGATGGTGTGCCATGGCCTATGCTACTCACTTCCCCTTTGGCAGAGGGAGCTGAGTGAAACTGGGGTCCTCCTGTTAGGTGGCTATGTGGCGCTGGGCAAGCTGGGCCACTCCCAAGTCCTTGTGCTCCTCATTGGTGAAGTTATTACTTGATGTACACCATTCGAGCAAGGGCTGGCAAGCTAGTCTGTGGCTGTGGGTTTTGTAGTTGAGTCCTTGGCTGAAAATGGGTTCTAGGTTCTCAAAGTGTTCAGGAAAACAAACCTTACACAATATGGGACAGAGAACTTATGTGACCCACAATACCTAAAATGTTACCATGCTATTGACCTTTTACAGAAGTTTTAAATGCAAGAACCAAGAATCCCCATTTTATTTGGTTAACACTTGGTAAAAACTTGCTACATGCAAGACACTTTGGGAGATGCTCTCCAGATGATCTCCCCTAACCCTGCCTTCCCCTCCCAGATCCCACTCCTGGGGCGCCTCATGCTTCCTCTAAGGCAGGGCTTCCACAGGCCCTCCCTGCTCACCTGCAACTATCTCCACTTCCCTTCCTTTCCTCAGTGGTGCCTCATGGGCCTTCCGATTGATTGTACTAGAATTATCTGGGGGATAGTGAGAAAAGCCGATTACAGAGCATTCCCTTGCCTCTTCTAATTCAGTGATCAGGAACCTAAGGAGCTAATTGTAACTCAAACACATTTTGAGGAACTCTGCCTGACAGACTATAATAAATTCAAGAACTGGCCAGTATGCCCATCTAACTTTTCCTTCCTTCTCTCCCATGCACTTTTTACCCACCATACACTTACTATGTGGAATATTTTGGAGCATGCTAGACTTTCCATGCCCATATGTAAGCAGTTTCCATTGCCTAGAAGCCCCCACCCTCCAATTGCTTGAGGATCTCCTACTTAGCCTTTCAAGGCCAGCTCAGCATTTGCTCCTCTGCAAGATTTGCTCCACTTAAAACTTGGCTGTGCAGGCTCAGCAACACCTCCCCTGAGCTCCGAGGGAGCTGCCCAAACTTCCTTTAGCGCAGAGATCACTGTAAAGGGCATGACAGTATCTTCAGCTTTGTAAGCTTTCGGTCTCTATTGCAATTACTCATCTCATGGTCAGAGCACTTGAAAGCAGCCATGGACAATCTGTTATTGATGGGTGTGGCTGTTTCATTAAAACTTTATTTACAAAAACAGGTAGTAGGTAGATCTGGCTCAAGGGCCATAGTTTGCCAACCCCTGCTTTAGTGTACCCTTTATATTTCATGGTGTTGACATGAGAGAGGTGGGTACGTCTGAAGCCTTCACCAATCCTCCCATTTACAAAACTACTATAATCCTGCATGTTCTCCTTTCCTCATCTGCTCATGGAGGCAATACCTGTACTTCACAGGACTTGTTAGTAAATGGATCATGTATCAAATGAGGACAAATGTGTAGAGCCTCCTTCAGCTATGCCCATTTAACAACCAAGGACTCACTTTCAGATGCAAGTAATGGTGCACATAGTGCAAAATTGAGGAGAAATCACTTATCAGACACCACACCCATTTGGAGCATCTAGCATAATACATAAAGTAGTGAGGGTCCAATAAGTACAACATAGAGGAGAGGTAGAGATGGCAATGGTCTTGGGAGATCAACGAGGTGTATCACTTACAACTAGAGTGACCAGAGAAGAGGTCATGAAGGAGGAAGAGTTTTAAGAGAAGCAACTTAGTAGATGTAGCATACAGGCCCTGGGCTTCTGTGAAAAGACCAACCTGGCTTAAACATCCTAAAATCCATCTTTGTCACTTTCAACTGTGTGACTTCAGGTGAGCTAATAACTTTTCTAAGCCTTCCTCATCTATACAGTGGGGCTAATGTATCTCCTCACAGAATGAGGACTGTGGATTTGGTAAAGTAATACATGAAGGTGCTTGGGCCCAGAAAGCACTTAACAGCTTCTCTTCCCTTGGAAGGATGAATGGGATTCTGACAAGCAATGATGGAGGGATGACAGTCCACTGTGGGGAATGAGAAGAAGCAAAAGTACAGCAGTAGAAACAAACACAGCATGTTCCAGAGAGCAAGCAGACCAGTTTGCCTGGAGGGTGGATCCACAAGAAGGCACGAAGAGCAGCAAAACTCAAAAGCTAGGTTGGGAGTCATGATGAGGAATGAAATTATAGTATTCTAACCACTGCTCCACAGTACCTAGCAGAATGTGGAAGATAAGTAAATAGTACTGAATTTTTCAAGTCTCAAATGCTCAGAAAAGGTGCAAAACTTTCATGGTTTTCATAGGTGCAAAAGTATTCATAGTCTCTTAGAAAGGATTGAAGTATAACGTGACCCAATTCAGATTTCTTTTAACAAACAAGACTAATATTTAGTTCAAGGCACTCAGATATTTGCTAAAAACAAAAGCAGTGATTGGGGAGGCTCAGAAACCTTCCATCCTCACTCATGCCCTAGGTGCAATGCTGGGCAGCCTAAGTGTGGGGCTTTGGAATTGTCAGGGATGGCTACATTGTCACTCCCCACTCCCAAGTCACATTCTAGCAGTTTGAGTAAGCCTTGGTAGTGAGTAACTTAGCTGAAAGTTACTTCATTCACAAAAGTAACACCAGGCCCAACCAGGACCGCCAACCAGCCCCAAAACAGCTACAAAGAAGGTCTTCGTACTTGGGATTCTTCTCCCTGGGGTAAGGTTGGTTGAGAGCTGTGGGCTTGGATGGTGATGCTGGAACAGCCTCCTGGGAAGAACTGAGGCCTGTGCTGGGGTCAGAACTCTGGCTGTCCTCCTCCAAAACCAATCTGCTTATTGTCATTCGCTTGTTCCTGGGCTGCAGTTCAGAGCTGCCCTCACCCTCAGCAGAAGCTGAGCTGTCATGTTCATCTTTTCTGGGTCTTTTGTTTTTGAGGGCTGGTGATGACAGGGATGCTTGATTAGGAAGTACCAAATCTTTCTGGTCCAGTTTTGAGAAAGCTGCCTCTGAATCCTGTGCAGTGGACAGAGCCTTGAAAGCTCCCTTCAGAGTCCGAATTCCAATGATGGTTGGAGTATTCTGTAGCTGCCTACAAATAAAGCAAATATATGAGGACCAGTTTGACTACTGCTGATGTTCATCCAAATAGGCACAACTTTTTCAGAGTGTAAGGAGGCTTCAAATGACTTGAGGACTCCTCAGTTGAGGACTTTCTATTAAAACACAGAAACAGCCGGGTGCTAGTGGCTCACGCCTATAATCCCAAACAAAACAAAAATAAGTGGAGGATTTTATAAATAAAGGTTGTGTGAAGACAGTTCCTTCCTCTCTCTCTCTCTCTCCTCCCTCCCTCCTTCCCTCTCTCTGGTTTTGTTTTTGTGGGTTTTTTTTTTCTTGGGGGGGGGCAGTACTGGAGGGTTTTTTTTCCAGTACTGGGGTTTGAATTTGGGAACTTCACCTTGAGCCACTCCACCACCCCTTTTTTGTGAAGGGTTTTTTGTATTTGCCCAGGCTGGCTTCAAACTGTGACCCTTATTTCTGCCTCCTGAGTAGCTAGGATTACAGGTGTGAGCCACTGCACCCAGAAAAATCCTCCACTTATACTATCATATAAGAACTTGAATGGTGCCTACCTATTACAAGTACACCTGGGCCAGGTCTTGTTGGTTCACACCTATAATCCTAGCTACTCAGGAGGCAGAGATCAGGAGAAAAGCAGCTTGAGGCCAGCCTGAGCAAACCATTTGTGAGACCTTATCTGAAAAATACTCCACACAAAAGGGCTGTCAAGAGTTGCTCAAGTGGTAGAGAGGCTACCTAGTAGCAAACGTGAGGCCCTGGGTTTAAACCCCAGTACCAATCTCACTCCGCACCACCCGAAAGAAGTCCACCTGGGTATCCAACTGATAATCTAATAATCTCACTCCAAAGTTTTGTATGTTCTTCCAGCCATGTGAGAGAAGTAACTGACTGGCCTACGCTCACTGTGCACTTACAAACAGGATCTTGAGAATTCTTAGAGGAAGTAATGAGTACACAATCTTGGAACAGTGAGACTGCCTTTTACAAAAAAAATTCACCTATCACTTGGAACAGCTAGTGTGAGGGGCAAACTGTTGGCTTGCAGGCCAAACTCAGATAGCAAATATATCTTACTGTATAAAACATGAAAGGTTTTTTGGGTTTTTTTTTTTAAGTGGTTCTGGGTTTGAGCTCAAGAGCCTCCCATTTGCTTGGCAGGTACTTTACCACTTGAGATACTCCGCCAGCCCTGACATGCAGTTTTTATTGTTAGTAGCAGGGTTTGAACTCAGAGCCTCACACTTGCTAGGCAGGTGCTCTACCACTTGAGCCTTTCCACCAGCCCTGTTTTGTGTTGGGTATTTTTGAGATAGGATCTTACAAACTACTTGCTTAGGCTAGCTCTGAACAACAATCCTCCTGATTTCTGCCTCCTGAGTAAGCTAGGCATGAGCCATTGGTGTCTGGCTGGTTTTTTTTTGTTGTTGTTGTTGTTTTAATGGACTACCAACATTCAAAAATTGAGTGGCTTAAGTGGTAGAACTGCCTAGCAAGTGTGAGGCAATGATTTTAAACCTCAGTGCCATAAAACAAAATAAAAATAAAACAAAAATTGAGAAACTGGGCTGGCAGAGTGGCTCAAGTGGTAATTATGCCTGCCTAGGAAGTGTGGGGCCCTGAGTTCAAACCCCAGTGCAGCATTAAAAAAAAAAAAAAAAAAAAACCTCACACACACACACAAAAAGTAGACATCTTCCACAAAAATCTGAACTAAAGTTTGGGCATGCTTGGATATTCCCACTGAGCAGCAGTCACTAAAAGCTGTAAAATCCATCCTTTCTCCTCAGTCCTGTGCTTCTCTCAACTCTCATTCTAGGACCCACTTTGTCCTTTACATTTCCTACCAGGCTGCTATGGTTTGGATATGGTTTTAGTATCCCCCAAGGATTATTTTCCAGTGTTGAAATTTAACTCCTGATTTCAGTGTTTATAGTGGCCTTGATCAGTAGATTATGGCCATCAGGGTAGAACCCCCAAGGTTAAATACTGGTGATGGCTTTGTAAAAAAGAGGGGAGAAACCAGAAGACTCAAGGCACAGACACACGTAAATTCACCCTGTCTCTTACCATGTAAATAGCCTGCCTCTGCCACCTCAGGATTCTGCCAAGAAGACCATCACCAGATGTGGGCCCTCAAACCTCTAGAACTATGACTAAAAATAAACCTCTTTTCTTCATAAAGTTATTTACCCAGCCTCAGGTATAGAGTAATTACAAAATGGACTAATAGGCCCTCAGAGGAATCTAAACTTGTGACTCCTGCTCTAACTGGAGGACTTGGGATTCTGACTCATATAGCTAAACGTGGATTCCAGAGTGCTTGAAGAGATTAAATATGTCATGATATGAGTGAAGCAGACAAGAAAAGTGAAGACAGATCCTTGAGGAAGAGCCAATCAGGATCATCTGTCAGGGATCCCAAAAATGTCTTTGTTATTCGCATTTTTTAAGGGTGTGTTCTCTGTCTTCCAGTGCCATATACCAGTAATCCAGTAACAGGTCAAATCACTGAGAGACTGATCTGTGTTTTCACCAAGATCACAAAATGGCATTTCCCTTACCTTGGAGGCTCTCTGAGTGGTTTTTCCACAGGCTCTGGAAGTGGTTGTTTATCTTCCTTCACTGTACTTGAGGCAGCCGACTCAGATTTCAAAGCCTTCTTGGCCATCTAGGGAAGGAAGAATGTCATCAAGAAGAAAAGGCTTCATTTGTTCTCTGCTTTTATTCTCTGCAGAGTTTCATTTATTCTCTGCTTCTTTCATCACAAATATACACAATATGCAAACAAGTTCACTTACAAATCCAATCTAGGCAGTAAGTGGAGGACATAAAGGAGCACTATCTAATGTGAATCAACTTGTCTTCCTTACTGCTCAGAACACAGTAATGCCTCCAAGGATGGTTTACACTTGTCTCCACTAAAGAACTCAATCTGAATGATGCTAATTTTTTTTTTTTTTTTTTTTGCAGTACTAAGGTTTGAACTCAGGGTCTCATGCTTGCTAGGCAGGTGCTCTACCACTTGAGCCACTCTGTCAGCCCTTTTTTGTATTAGGTGCTTTTGAGATAGGGTCTTGCAAACTATTTGCTCAGGTTGGCTTTGAATCTCAATCCTCCTGAGCATTTAGGATTACAGGCCTGAGCCACCGGCACCTGGCTTGATGCTAACTCTTGACATGGCAAGAATTTTTCAATTTTTCAGACACCAAATAACTTTATCTTCTCCCAGAATTCAGGACCTCATGCTACCACTTGAACCACATCTTTAGCCCTAATAACAAGATTTTACTCCACATCTCCTCTTCTATCCTTTCAACCTCAGCCCTAATCTAGTTTTTGGCTCTCAAGTACACGTCTGGGGGTCAAGTACAAAAGTCAAACTTTTTTCAAATCTAGGATAACTAATAATGTTTCTATTAGTGACTTTTAGTTTGTGTGTGGAATTTTCTATAACTGTATTTCCATAAGTATATTTTGTCTTATTGGCAATTACTTGAAAATCCTTATCAAACATGAAGCTCTCAGCAGGCCATTCCTACACTAACTCCAACTGCTAATCTGTCTCCCTCTGACTTTAGCTTTAAACATTTCCAGTCAGTCTAGAATCATTCAGTTTTATAGTATCTGTAATAGGCGGTGGCTTAAGAGCTGAATTCTACCCTCACACACAGATAGTGGCAGTGTATTTTCCAGTTATATGGAATGCAAAGGAATGGAAACATACCTAAGCCAGGCCCAGGACCCTAACACTTGCTCCCTGGATATCCCAAACTGCCTGCTTTACAAGTACCTTGAGACTTGTGAAATGGATCTATCACTGACACTACCCTAATACAGGCCTTGACAGATCTATTGTTATAAGATAGGCTATCGTCAACATTCTTAAACCCCTATTTTTTTTTTTTTGTGATACATTGCACATACTAGGCAGGCACTCAACCACTGAGCTAAATCCACAGCAACTGCCAGGCCTTGAACTTACATTCCTCCAGCCTCAGTCTCCTAAGTGCTAGGATTACAGATATGTACTATCATGCCATCTCTTTGATCCAATCAAAGATTGTCTTTGCTTGGTCACCTTTGACTGTATCACACTTCTAGTCCCACTCTTCTCCACATTCAGCTTTTTTGCTATTAACAACCCCATCACACCACATCTAACAAACCACAATGTTTCCAAACTCAGTTCAAATTTTATCTCCTATGGGAACCACTATGGATTACCAGTGAATGTACTGTTTTAACCACAACAGAGTAATCATATGTAGAGGAGGGAAAAATGAGAGGTAAGGGAAACCATTTGCCTCTGCCAGTATCTCTCCTTTGGTATTTCTAGTGCATTTAAGAAAAGACAGTGCACAAAATTCAGTCTTTTTCACACATTAATTCTTTCACTTCTAATTTTCTAATTCCCTGATCATCCTTAAAGACACATCACAGTTATGGGAAGAGAAGAGAGGTTAAGGCACACCGTGAGGAGGTAGGGCTCTGTGTCATCCAGGTGGCTCTCCAGGAAGCGTAGCATCTTCTGCTGGAAGGTCTCATAGGAAAAATTCTGGATAACAGGATGGGCCCAGTTCTTTTCTCGGATAATATTGAGGAGATCATTTCTCAGCTTCTACACAAAAGATCAATGTTTGTAACATGAGAAAGGAAAGGCAGAACAGTAAAATTTAATGATGAGTTGTGACAAAATACTATCAGAACCTTTACAATACTGTCAATAAATATCTCTGATGGGCTGGTAAAGTGGCTCAAGTAGTGGTGTGCCTACCTAGCAAGCATAAGCATGAAAAAAGAAAACAAAAATCACTGGTAAACATATAGGAAGAGAAGCCCAACACAAAGAACTGGTCAATAAATCATGGTTCAGCCACATGGGTCAGTATGAAGCTATAAAAAAAAGATAAAAAAGTGCCTATGTACTAATATAGAAGTCTAAGATTACTAAGTAAAAAAAGCAACTTTAAAAATGTTCAATGTGTACAAGATACTGTCACACGTGGAAGGGAAGAACAGGCAAAATGGGTATAATATATATATATATATATAGCTGTACACACACACAACTTATTCGCTTATTCATGCATGTTTCTGAAAGGATAAAAGAAACAACACTGGTGGCTTCTGAGAGGAGCAAGATGAGAAATGATCAGAGGAAGGGAATTTTCACTAAACTCTTTATATCACTTTTTCAAAAAATAAAATTTAAGTTTAAGCTGATAGATCCAAGTTTCTTTAAAAGAAAAAAAAAAAAGACCAAGATTCTGGCACTAGGAAATGGAGATGTTAAGTCCTCACCAAAGCACAATCGCCCAATGTCTACAGAATTAGCATTTATGGAAACAATTTATAAAAATATTACACAACTTGTTAGCTCAATATCTGGAGTTGATGGCTTAAATAAATAATGTTCCGTCATAAACCACAGAAATAAGGCAAGTAAATGGTTTATGTAAATTTGTCTAATGAGAAATAAATTTTGAAAAGCCAATCTCAGATATTAAAGATAGAATCTGAGGTATCTTGGATATAAAAGACAACATGTTAAAAGATAGTGCTTTTCTTTCTTTTTTTATTATTTATTTATTTAGAGACAGTCTCAAACCCAGGCTGGCCTTGACTTCACTATGTAGCTCAAGGCTGGCTTCAAAGTTTAAATCCTCCTGCCTCAGCTTCCCAAGTGTTGGGACCACAAACATGACCACCCGGCTAAGATGCCGCATAGTTAAAGGTAAAACTTTACATACTATTCCTGACAAAGAACCCTTTCCCCATAGTTTCATGAGAAGCAATGAAATGGATTTCAGTCATGGGAGCAAAAATACGTCAAATTTACCTGAGTTGTGGGGTCCTTGGACATATGTTTTTTCAAAATTTTTGAAGCCTTTTCAAATTCTTTATTTTTGATACAAATAATGACAGCCTACAAAAGGAGGAAAAATCTTTTTTTTAACTTTTAATAACAGGTGTAATCAGAATATCAACTATCAAACAAAACCACTCTACTAAAAAGCAAAGCTGAATCTTACATACCCAAGAACTTTTTCGCATATCAAATCCCTGTACTTAAGAACCAAGTTATTGCTCTAGCATAGTGTACTGTAAATTGTGTCTTTCAGTTAGTAAGGTAGTAGCTCTTTGACATTACATTTTTTTTTTTAATGGCTAGCAAATCTGATTCCGTGGATTACAGACCATTTAATCAATCTGAATAGGACTTCCTTAAGAAAGACAGACAGGAGTCATTCTAGATCCCCAAAATTTCAGATCTACAAAACAATTTTTTTTTTTTTGACAGTATTGGGGATTGAACCCAGGGTTCGCACATCTGGGCAAGTGCTTAGCACTTGAACTGTGCTCCTCAGCTACCCCGCTAGTTCTGTTCTTTTTGGATGCAAGAGCTTTAAAGTAAGGGGAGAGAGAATGGGCTAGGGAGGATAAAAAACCAAACAAGTGATTTGCTGACCACAGAGTTCTTCCAGTTCTATTCAGGAAAGGCCACAGGCCAGTTCTGGCTAGAGAATGGAAAAAAAAAGTCTCTTACATAGAAACATCAGCTGGCAACTTTTAGTTAAAGCGTGCAGGAAATCACTGAGACCAAGTACCCCAACTGAACTCATCCACAAGCAGCAAATACAAAAGACAAAGTTCCAGGTAAAATGATTTCTCATCAGTCACAGAGAAAAAGAGCCTTCTGTAAATAAACCTTGAATATATATAGCTGTAAAATAACAGTGATGGGAAATTTTTAATATATATGAACATTTAAAATGCTAGAAAAGCCAACAGAAAGTGAAGGAAGGCATTTGGAGTTATATAACTGGATAAAGTAGCAACTTTAAATCTTGTCTCAAAAAAAAGCATAAAGAAACAGAATTTTGGGTTGGGGATCTAGCTCAGTGGTAGAATGCTTGCCTACTATGTGCAAGGCCTTGGATTCAATCCCCAGTGATGCGAAAAACAAATAAATAAAATAAAATAAAAACATAACTTTGACTCAGAAGGCTGAGGCAAGACCACTGAGAAATCAAGGCAAGTTTTGGTTACATTACGAGACGCTGTTGCAAACCAAACCAAACAGATCTCTGGAAAAGACATTAAAAAAAAAAAAAAAAAAGATAAATTTGTGCATAGGTATTTTCAATCTCACAGAGAAAACTGTATATAGATACAGACCAAGAGGAAGAAGTATGCCAAAGTATCATTAAAAGTATTAAGTACTGTTCTCTGGTGGTTCCATCTTCAACACACTAAGCACATCCATCCGGGTAGAAACTGGTGTCAAGCAAACATGAGCTGGAGATAAGGCTCAAATGGTACATCACCTGCCTACTAAACCCAGAGCCCCAAGCGCAAACCCCAGCAATGATCCTCCCCTCCAAAAAAGTAGAATTAGGGATAAAGGCATAACTCAAGTGCTAGAATGCTTGCCTAGTAAGTGTAAAGCTCTGAATACCCCAGTACTGCTTAAAACAAACAAACAAACAAAATCATGGACTAAGCAAGCCTAACCATAAATTCTTGCTGACTAGAAAAGGCACAAAATAAATCTCATTAACCAGATGACCATGTGCACTTAAGACATCATTTTCAGCAGAACTACACTGACTCCACTTGCTTTTGTGAAAAATACAAAGCTTTTAGTTTTTATAACCCTCCTAGTTTCTATTATATCTGATTATATTTAACTTGCATACAGCAAAATGAACCCGTTTTGGGCATACAGCTCTGAATGTTAACACATGTAAACTCCATGACCACCATGGGGATCCAAAAGCCTCCTCTTTCCTTACTCACTCTTTTTGCTGTTTTGCCTCTTCAAGAATGTTCTATGGAGCAGCGGTGTGGCTCACAAGCTTAGCTGCCTGCCTAGCAAGCATTAAGGTTGAGTTCAAACCCCAGTACCTCGGGGGGTGGGGGTGGGTGAGGTGGCAGGTGTCACAAAATCATGTAAGTAGAATCATACAGTATGTAGCACTTCTGTTTAGTCAGGGTCTCACTATATAACCCAGGCTGGCCTGGAACTCAAGAGTCTCTTAGCTCAGCTTCCTACGTGCTGGGATTACAGTTGTACACCACCATGCCTGGCTCCAGCACTTACTGGTTTAAAGGATGTAGCCTTGAGACTGGCGTGTTTCACTTGTAAACTAAGATGCTAAAACATTCTCATGCAGGTTTAATTATGAGGTAACTATCCAGGGGTAGGATTGTGCGGTCATATGGAAAGCGTACTCGGTAAGAAACACCCAAACTGTCACAGTACAGAATACCCATACCACTTTGCATTTCTACTAGCAACGGGTAAGTTTCAGTTCCTCTACACCCTCCCTAGCACTTTTAACTGACAAATAAAAATTGTGTATTTATTGTGTCTTGCTTTTTTTGGGGGGTGTTACTGGGGTTCAAACTCAGGGCCTCACACTTGCAAGGAAGGCACTCTACCACTTGAGCCACAATCCCAGCCTTTTTTTTACTTTAGTTATATTTCAGGTAAGATCTTGGGCTTTTTTTACCAGAGCAGGCCTCAGACTATGATCCTCCTACCTACATATTCTGTGTGGCTGGGACTATAGTAGGCACTAATCACACCCTGCTTGTTTATTCAAATGGAGTGTCACTTTTTGCCCAGGCTAGCCTCAAACTGTGACCCTCCTGACCTCCACATTCTGAGTAGATGAGCCATTCCACCAGCCCAATTTTTTGTGATAGTGTTTTTTGAGATAGAGTCTTGAGAACTATTTGCCCAGGCTGCCTCCTGAGTAGCTAGGATTACAGACGTGAGCTGCCAGTGCCTGGCTTTTATCATCATTTTTAAGTTTAATCATTCTAGTTGATATGTACATTCATTGTGATTTTAATTTGTATTTTCTGGGTTTTTTTGCAGTTCTGGAGTTTGAACTCGGTCTACATCTTGAGCCACTCCACCAGTCCTTTTCTGTAATGGTTTTTTTGTTTTTTTTTTTTTTTGAGGAGGGTCTCAAGAACTATTTGCCCGGGCTGGCTTTGAGCCATGATCCTCCTGATCTCTACAGGATTACAGGCACGAGGCACCAGAGTCCAGCAATTTGTATTTTCTTAGTAACTAAATAAGGTTGGTCACCTTCTTTTTTTTTTTTTTTTGCCATCAATATTCTTTTTGGTGAGTCTTCTGCCCATTTAAAAAACAGGTTTAGGCCAGAGGTGTGGTTCAAGTGGTACCTGCCTAGCAAGTGACCCTGAGTTCAAACTCCATTACCACCCCAAAAAATTTAAAAAATAGGCTTGTTTCTTTTTTGTTACTGGTCAGGGCTTTGCACTTGCTAGGAAGGTGCTCTACTGCTTGAGTCATACCTCTAGCCTTAGAATTATTTTCTCAAGTGTTTTTTATATATTGTGGCTACAAGTCCTTTCTCAGATATGATTTGCAGATATCTTCTCCCAACCTGTAGCTGTGTTATCCTTCTCTGCAGTTCCCCTCGGAGCAAAAACTTTACGTTTTGAAGAAGTCCAAGTTATCAATTTTTCCATAAGGATGTGTTTTTGGTGTCCTGAGATTTTCTTACATGTTTTCTTCTGAAAGTTTTATGGTCCTGTTTTTTGTTTCGGCAGTACTGGGGTTTGAAGTCAGGGCATCACACATGCTAGACATTCTACCACTTGCTTGAGCCACACTTCCAGCCCAATTTTATGGTTTTACATTTAGTTTATGATCTATTTTGTATTGTTCTGTATTATTTGCATTTAAGGTCACAATTATCTTTTGCATATGGACATTCCATTATTTCAACACCACTTGTTGAAAACACTATACTTTTCCTTTTCTCATTGAATTGCCCTCATATCCTTGTCAAAAATTGATTAGTCACATTTGTAGGGATCTGTTTTTGGTCTCTCTTCTGTTCCACATATCCATATCTCTGTAGTCATGGGTACTGGAGCTTTATAGCAATTCTTAAAACTGGGTAGCATGAATCCTCTGACTTTTTCTCTTACAAAGTTGCTTTGGTTATTTTTGTTCCTTTGCCTTTTGATATACATTTTTGAATCAGCTCATCTGTAACTGTGGAAAATCCTCCTAAGACTCATTTAACTCTAACAGATCAGTTGGAGAGAGATGAAATCTTAACTGTATTGTCTTCCAATCTTTGAACATGGTGTGTCATTCAATTAAGTCTTGATTTCTTTCATCAGCATTTTGCATTTTTCCACATACAGATCTGGCATGTTTTGCTAGACTTACAACAAAGTATTTTTCTTTCTTTTCTTTTTTGGGGCTACTATTATTTTGGTGAGACTAGGGTTTGAACTCAGGGCTTCCTGTTTGCAAAGCAGGCACTTCAGTGCTTAAGCCACACCTCCAGTCCAATTTGCTCTGGTTATTTTGGAAATAGTGTCTCTGAGAACTATTTGCACAGGCTGGCCTCGAACCATGATCCTCCTGATCTCAGCCTCCTAAGAAGCTAAGATTATAGGTGTAAACCACTGGTACCTAGCTTTGGAAATATTATTATTATTATTTAATGGTACTGGGGTTTAGACTCAGGGCCTTGAACTTGCTAGGCAGGCGCTCTACCACTTTAGCTACACCATAGTCCTCCTGCATTTCTTTTCTTTCTTTCATTTAAAAAATTTTTTTGACAGTACTGAGGATTGAACTCAGGGCCTCATACTTGCCAGGCAGGCGCTTAACCACTTTAGCCACTCTGCCAGCCCACTGCATATTTTTAAAAATCATGAATATTGAATTTTGCCAAATGTTTTTTCTGTATCAATTGATAGGATATGGTTTTTTTCTTTAGACAATATGGTAAACTACATTGATTGATTTTCATATGCTGAATTATATTCCTGGACTTTAGTTTACTACTTTGCTACGCACTAACTGCATCTGCATTCAGAGCTAAGAAAAAAGTGTCACTGCTAGGCCACTAGAGTAGTATTGCCTGAGAACCAGGGCAGGAAAGGAGAAAAAAAGAAGAAAAAATAGATTTCTGCTATCATCTTTGACTCCTAGAAAAACTCCTCAGACAAAAAAGAGAGAGCTACTTTAGAGTTCTTTCTGGAGTACAATTCCAGGGCTCAAGCTGCCTTTGGGTGTAGTCCAAAGGAAAAGGGGGAGACAGAAAACTACTCAATACTGGGGGTAATAATTTTTTTTTTTAAACAGATGAACAATTGCTTTTTCACTTGGCAGTTATCAGAAATAAGTATAATTCTTCACTTTTATACTTGTTAAAGTTCTTAGGGTGTAAACCCTATCAATGGTCTCTGGCTAACTCAAAATTATAAGCACGGATTTTCAAAATAGGCAAGATAGGTTTATGTTGGTAGAAATGCCATAAGCATATATGAGAAAACCAAAATCACAGAATTAAATGAACCATAAAGCAGATCCAAAGAAAAACAAAGATGTTCTGGGGAGCAGCAATGTTAAAAGACCTTGATATAGCTCTCTGTAGAAGAATTAAAGTGCTAAGAGTATGCCTGATATTGGGTGCCAGCACCCAAAAGATCAAGTTGCTATTACCAAAAGTACATGGGAGAATGCTGCATAGTAAAAAGCAACAGATCTATCAGAGCAACAAACTTACAAAGCAATAAATAAAAAAGCTTCCCCAAGAATATGCTATAAATGTTCTCCACAGTCTCCAAAGAAATTTGAGGAATCTTTTAGTTATGAAGAAAAAATCAATATAGTTTCAATACAATTAACAGTTTGCAGAAGAAAATCTTAAATCAGAATTCCTTTCTATTATTCTTAAACACTAGTGAAGACCCCAAAGAACTTTTGCTTAAGGGAGTTATAGCTGTGGATACTGTTTGAGAAACATAAAACTGAGAAAATTTAAAAATATTTATTAATTCATTAAAAAACAAACTAATTACATATTAATAACAACATGAAAAAAATCACTGTATTTTCCTAGAAGTCTCACAAGGGTAGCATTGTAATATATTTCTTGCAATTCTTCTTTTTTTGGGAAGTAGGGCAGTTCTGTTGAACTTGCTAGGCTTCCCACTTGCTAGGCAGGGGCTCTATTGCTTGAGCCACTCCTCCAGACCTTCTTGCAATTCTCTATAATAATCTGGTTTAACAGAAGACAGCTACATCCTCATAGTGCCTCTGCATTCAAAACCCATGTGATAGGCTGTTTTGGCTGAGGTACTTAAAAATCCAGCTTTATACAGATATGAAGATGGAAAATGCATTTAATATTTATTTGTTTGTTTGAGACAGGATCTGGGTATGTAGCCCAGCCTGGCCTGGAAGTTGAAATCCTCCTGTCCCGACACCTCAGTGCTGGGATTACACGTGAGTGCCATACACCAGAAGGAAAGATTATTTCAAGAACTTTTTCAGAAAACTGTGAATATTTTTGATTCTAGATCAAACTTTAACAAGAAAACTTTCTTTAATCTACTACATTAAAATCCATCAGTCTATCTTGCACTTTAAATACATCTCTCATTCATAAATAATTTTGTGATACCATGCAGTGATCTCTTGGAAACACTGGTCCACTGAATTATATATAGATCTTCGAAATGTTGACACATTCATTAAAAACATTTTCAAAATCACAGTTGTTGATATCAACAATCTTCAGAAAAGCCTAAGTATTGGGAAGCTATCAAACACATAATTGTAAGTTTTCCAAAATTCTGACTTTTCATTTCAAAGCTTGAATTTGGCTACTAGCAGTAACACTGTTGAGTGTTCTAAGTAATAAGTTCAGTTTTCTCATTCTCAAGAAAATGACCGCCAAATACCCATCTGAACAACCCTAGTGCGTCAGTTGTACTTTCAGGTAAAAATCGTGTTCCATAAAAAGAACAGCTAGTTCTGTGGGCAACTCAATCACATTGTGCTTTTCCTAAAGACAGCCATCATGCTTTGGTATGCAGCAGAAATGCTTTAGGCAGACTATTTCATCACACAAAATAATGAAAAGATGTCTACTCATAGGTTTAGATTTAATAAAATTATGAATTTTTCACTGCTTGGGCAAAAATATTCTTAACTGAAACTGGTGTTTTTGTAAAAACTACATTTAGCAATAAGGAATATGGTGAGTACTAGTATGATTTACCACTTTCTTGTGCTAAGGCACTAGCAATTTGTACCATAAGCGCAAATGTTATGACTTTGTGGGCCATCTGGAAGGGTCGCAGACAGCTCCAAAGGCCCCAGACCATGTGCTAAGAAGTTTTAACTTATTTGATTAAACTTAAAATTTTTTTCCCCCTAAGGTTGATGCTCTATGGGACAGCATCACCTCTCTTTCCTAGAAACATGCCTATAAAAATTTATATACTTTTAAATAAATTACTGTGACACTTTACAAAGCTTAAATGCATCAAAAAGCCTCACTGAGCCCGGGCACCCCATGTGTTTTCCGAAAGTGATAATTAACAGATTGTAGGACTCTGTACGAGAATCTTAAAAAGTGAAGCACGTAAGATACGTATCATTTAATAATGTGGTGGCCAGCCACTGACCTCCACCAGCACAGTTCCATTCACACACGTTACCACAGCTGGGCTGGGTGAGTCCTGCTAACAACCACATTAAGTGAGTATAGAAGCAGATCCCTCAGTGGATCCCAGTTGAATCTTTTTCTTCCCTTTGAGACAGAGTCTCACTATGTAGCCCAGCCTGGCCACAAATTTGAGATCGTCCTGCCTCTATCTCCCAAGTGCTGGGATTACAGGCATGTACCACTATGCCTGGCTGCAGCTGGGTCTTGAAATGACTGCAACGCTTTACATTTTTTTTGTTTTTGCAGTGCTGGCAATCAAACCAAGGGCCTTTTGCATACAAGGACTGTACCCTTTCACTGAGTCATACCCCCAGCCCACAACTGCAACTATAACTGATAGTTTGACTATAACCTTAAGAGAAACCCTGGGCCAGAACTTCTTCAGTTAAACCACTACCAGATTCCTTTGCAAACTGAGAGATAGTATGTATTCTTTTAAGCTGCTAAATATTGGAGTAATTTGTTACACTGCAGTAACAGTAATCTACCAAGTATAACAAGATACCTGGAACCTGGCAGAGAGCTAAAAAACAAAGAAGTTAACATAAGAAAACAGTTAACTATTTTAAGGAAGTATAGCTCTTGCTGATAGATTGTACTAATGAAGCCCCAAAACAAGACATCTGTGAGTTTAGCTGGGCATAGTGGTACACACCTATAATCCCAACACTTAGGAGGCTAAGGCAGGAGGATCTCAAGTTCAAGATTAGCCTGGACTACATAATATGTCAAAAAAACAAATTACCTTCCTCTTCCCAAAAGGGAGAGATCTAGGAGCTTAAATAAAATCATATATACACATATAAAAGTCTCCATGAAGACTCTTCCAGAAGACAGGCCAGATGGCAAATCTTTAGCCCTTGTTCTAAAGGAGTGGCATGAATTACTCTGAACTGGTGCCAGTTGTTCCCATTCAAAAGAATCTTAGTGGGCTGGCAGAGTGGCTCAAGCGGTAGTGTGCCTGCTTAGCCAGTGTGAGGCCCTGAGTTCAACTCCTCAGTACCACCAAAAAAGAATCTTAGCTGTTCTAAGTAGGCATAGATTCCTCAGCTGTTCTAAGTAGGCATAGATTCCTCCTCCCTATGCTATACTTTTACAGCATATGCTATATATTTATGCTATGCTAATGACTTTTCTGGCATTATTCCCCAAACATAAATTTGAATTACCTATACTAAAAATCTATTATGGAATTATTCCTCGTTGGTACTGAGTAATAATTATCTAAGCATTCTTTGCAAGACCAAAAGTAGCTCCTGCCCAAGGCCCTTAACTGAATAAATAAAATACCTGAACCCCATGCGCACTAGTTATTTTTTAACAGGATACTTGAGTACCCCGTACACAGCCTTGCTAAACAAGGTTTTCTCCTTTTACCTCTAGGATCCCATCCTTTTAAAGGTGCTCTTTTCTTCCAACTTCCTTACTTTCCCCCACCAAGGAAACGCTGAGCTCTTCTTCAATCCCCACCTCTGCATCTGCTTCCATACCCCCAGCACTGGTTACTGGAGAAGAAAAATGTTTTTCTTGTTGGTTCCCACAGTCACTTCTATGCTTTAAGTAAAACTAAGTTCTATTACTTGAAGCTACCTGAGCCATGACACAGTGACAGTCTTAAACTCCTGAATACTTCTTTAGCTTTTTTTCTTGACTTCAAGAATACTGCCTGTGCCATTCCTATTTTCCTAGCTGGCTCATTATCTCAGCAGCTCTGTTCTCTAAGCCTCTTCTTCTGCAGACAATTATATGAAAGAACTCAGAGTCAATCCCACATTGCCCAAAGCCCAGCTAACCCCTTGGTTTATTATAAACAAGAGTGATCAAAACCCTAGACCAGAGGTACTTACGGCCCTTTCACAGAACTTCTGAACAGTACAATAACTTCTGAATATCAGCCTTCAACACCAATGCACTTTCTGTGTACATCAAATTCACAAAAGCAGACTACTTGGGTGGTAAAGAGGTCACATGAAGAGATGAACATCTGTGTGCATGTGCTTGCCTGCTCTCCCTTGCTATCCCTGTTTTTCCTTTACTCCACACAGAAAAGACTGTGTTCTCAAGATATCCCTGATTATTGTTAAAGAAAAAAAAAAGAAAGAAAGAAGGAAAAAAAGAGCCTTACAGCTTCCTTGACCAGTTTTCTACTGGATTCGACTACTCCTTCTGTCAGGGTAAATTCGGTTTTAATCATCTCAAGCACATTGATAGCTGATTCCAATGGTGTGAGCTCAGCCTCCATATCAAAGGAACAGTCTAGGACAAAGCAGAGTATTCACTTTAAGTTCTTTTCTAAGGAGGGGAAAAGTTATGTCTCAAAACAAAATATACATATGTGTGTGTGTGTGTGTGTGTGTATACCTATATAAGCATATACAGATATTTACGTGAAAGGAGTGTGCAAACATAATAAGATTTGCATTTATTTTGCTAATGTACTGGCCACAGGCTTGCATACAGAGTAAGGGTTCGAACTGAAATCAGTGAATTTAAAGTGACCATCTTTTAATACTTTCAAGACAGCGAAATTCTTTTTTAAAATATGCATTTGTCTCTCGAATTCACGGTAACGCAGATGCAAGTGGCCAGAAAAAAAGATAACTTGCTAAGCAGCTGTCAAATTCAATTCAGGAAAACAAAAACAAAAACGTGCTTATGCTCTGAAAAGCAGTCTATCATGGGGACAAATATATCTATATTAACAAAAGTCGTTTTCAACAGCAATAAAGTTGGATGATCAATTAACAGGTGGGAAAACAAACAAAATACAGAAAAGCTGCCAAGAGAACCTTAACTGGAGAAAACTAGAGACAGAACACACTCATAGAATGAAAAAAAGACCACCGTGCTGGCAACGCTGGCACACTTTTCCCCGGAATCCTTCAGTTCCGGATGTAAGTTTGAAAACAACAAAAGGACACAAAATAGCCATACCTAAATTTTCCCCTTCTTCAATGCGCGACAGACACTGCATAACCCGCAGCAACCGGGACACGGCATGCTCCTTCCCCAAGGGCCTGACAAGCAAAGCTGGGGAAAAAGACATCGTTGGCTCGGCGACCCCCAGACTCCCAAACCCGCTCCCCAGACCCCTCCTCCTTCCCCTCCCCGGCCCGGCCCGGCCCGGCCCGACTCGGCCCTCACCCTGCATGATGTCCCGGATCTGCCTGAAGTCCCCATACCGGCTACCCCGAAAGGCCCGCAGCGCCTCGTGGAAGTAGAACTTGAGCACCCAGCGGTTGACCGCTTCCTCCAGCCGCGCTTCCCCCGCGCCCCGCTCCGCCGCGGCCCCCAGCCCGGGCTCGTGGCGCCCCCGCCGCGCCCGCCCACTGCTACGGGACGCCCGCCGGCCTGCCGCCCGCCCGCCGCCGTCGCTGCTCCCGCCTCCTCCCGCCATCGCGTCCGACCGCCGCGCGCCCTCCCCGCCCTCCCGGCCGGGCCGCTTCCTCGGCTGTGACGCCGTCGGGTCACGCACGACACCCGGGCCGGAAGCGGAGCCCGCCGTTCCGGCTCCCGCAGCCATGATACGGACGGCGTTGCAAGCCGCCCGCGGGCTTCTGGGAGGGAAAGGACCAGGGCCTCAGCCCCCTTCTCAGATTCCGTAGTCTCGGAAATGCCCGCCGCAGTGCCTGCTGGGACTTGAAGTCCGCAAGGCCCAGGCCCGGGAGGCCGAGGGGTGTGCGGTCACGTGTAGGCTCTGTTTTGAATTTACAGAATACTAAAGTGGCTACGCGGGACTATGAAAAGAGACTGAAAAATGTGTGTGTGTGGGGGGAGGGAATAGCAATATATAGCCATACATATATACACACACGTATGTGTATGTTGAAAAATAAGTACATGCGGATTATTACACGTTTTGAAAATAGGAGCATGACAGATGAAAGTCCAATAAACACCTTTACATCAAGCCAGTGCGATCCCAATTAGGGTCACGAAATAGAATATTCCGGCACAACCAGAACATCTAGAAATAAAATTTTAAGTCACAAAATACTACATTTTGTTGTAGAGCAATTTTTTAAAATAACCAAAAAATCACTCATAGTCATTCATAAAAAAGTAAGTTGACATTTAGGTCGTAGCCTATTAATGACTTTTGTGTACGTGTGTGTGAGTGTGCTCCCACGCACGGTATTTACAAAAATAGAATTGCACTATATTCTCTTCTAACACTCATTTTCATTTTAACTTGTAGTGAACATGCTACTGAATTTTTTTCTATGGTATCCTTAACAGCTACATAGCCTTCCGGTGGATGAACGAATCAAAGTTTTCTTTGTTTAAACTCCTACTGTGGGATGTTTAGGTTACTTAAAATTTTTGTAATTCTGGAACTTCTAAATTACAAACATTCGTTTAGCTATATTGTTGCACAAATTCACAGTTGTTTCCTTAGGTTAGTTTCATTGAAGTGGAATCACTGGCTCAAAGTGTTTTTTGCTTCTTTGTTTCTTTTTGGCATACTGGGGTTTGAATTCAAGACCTCGAGTTTACTAGGCAAGCCCTCTTAAACCCTACCTAAAGCCACAGCTGTTAATCCACACCTCCAGATTTATGTTTTGTTTTTTTGAGACAGTCTCACTATGCAGTTCAGGCTGGCTTTGAACAATGAGCCTCCTCCTTCAGCCTCCCTAGTGCTGGGATTACAGAAATGTACTACCACACCCAGTTTCAACGTGTTTTATGATAGTTAGAATAAGAAGAATATCAAAGTATGGTATCACTAATCACACAGTTTGTTGCTAAAGAGAATTTCTATTGTAAATTCACAATGCTTAAAAAGTAATGAGAATAAATCTCACAGGGAATACAGTGGATAGATAAGATGATGACTTAATAGTAAGAGGGTTCCAATTTTTCTTTCTTTCTTTCTTTTTTGATGCTAGGGATGGAACCCAGGACCTCCCATATGCTATGCACAGAAGCACTGTACAATGAGCTTCATTCCCAGTCCAGTTCCAGAATTATTAAAGTTTAGTTGCCCCATTAGGATGGAAGCAGGTCTCTGTGTAAAGTCTATTTAGAGTTTGACGCATACCTTTATAGGAGTAGCTTCTCAGGAGAGATGACATTCATCCAACAGATGGAAATACTCCATGACAGGCAAAGTCCCTCAGCCCTAGATGCCTATGCCAGTGTAGGCAGGTGAAGCTTCAGGGAATAATTCCAAGGCTAATTAGGATAGGCCCTGTTCAGCCTGAGCTCTTGGTCCTTGGAGAAGCAAGCAGCTGACAAAATGTAATCTTCCAAGTCCTAAATTCTCAGTGTCTGTCAAACTCTTCGTGATAATAGTTTGGATCTGGGATGTCCCCCAAAGTCATGAAGGCCTGGTCCCCAGCACATGGAGCTATTGGGTGTAGTGGGAACTTTAAGAGTTGGGGACTTTGTGGGTCATTGGGGGTGTGCCCTTCCTCTTCCTCTCTCTCTTTTCTCCCTCTGACCATGAGTAGCTGTGGCCACACACTCCTGCCATGAAGTACTGTCTCACCATAGGCCCAAAAGCAATGGAGCCAATTGATCATGGACTGAAACCTCCAAAATTGTGAGCCAAAAAAACCCTTTCTCCTTGTAAATTGGTCATCTCAGTTATCTGTAACAATAGTAGAAAGCTGACTAGCACAATATGTATTACTGACCTCAGTAATTCCAGGTGTCGAGGTCAGTAATTCACATGTGGAATCTGATTAGGTGTGGAGTCACATTCTCAAGGGAAGGAGGAATTCACTCCAAGTTCTCACACATGGTGCCCAGCCATTGGGTGAGACGAGTCTCCCGAGATTTTTGCCTGGTCTGGCCTCAAATCATGATCTCAGCCTTCCCAATGGCTAGGATAACAGGCTTGAGCCACCACGTCTAACTTAGCATGACTTTTTTTTTTTTCTTTGCAGTACTGGGGTTTGAACTCAGGGCCCCACCCCCACACTTGCTAGGCAGGCACTATACCATTTGAGCCACTCCACGAGCTTCCTGCTTTTTGTGGGACTGGGGTTTGAATTCAGGACTTTGTGAAGTAGTGGCTCTACTTCTTGAGCCACAACCAGTCAATTTTGCTCTGGTTATTTTGGAGATGGAGTCTTGAGAACTATTTGCCTGGGCTGACCTCAAAATGAGATTCTGCTGATCTCAGCCTCCCAAGTAGCTAGGATTGCAGGAGTGAGCCACCGGCACCTAGCTAGCATGATTTTTAAAGCCTGAAGAAGTTGCCTATTTGCCATACCCAGCTATCTTATTCTAATAATAAGTTTTCAAGCCTATTTATTTCTTTTTTTTAAAAACAAGCCCTGGGCTTGAACCCAGGGCCTTGCACTTGCTGGTCAGCCAGCCGGTCTACACTTGAGCCACTCCATGGCCCTTTTTTGCCCTTCTGAGGGTCAAACCTCATGCACATTAGGCTCTACCATTGGGCTACACCCTAGCTCCAAGCCTCATTTAAAAGCCATTTCACCTTTTCTTACTTTCTGAGCTAGATTAAATATATCCTCCTCCCCTGCTGCATTCTCCTTTGCATTTCATCTTTCATCTTGCCTGAAGTACATTCTCCATAGTTAGCTCCTTTGGAGGAAGGCACCTGCCTGCTTATCCACACTGTATCCCAGAACTTGGTCCAGGACCTAACACATTTTTTGAGGTTGGATTGAACTGACTAGGCACAAGTGAGGCATTTGATGCATGTTAAAAAACTACCAATTATATGTCAATCAGCAAACTGTTTTTATTCAGATAGGGCCTTCTTAGGGCTGCCTCTCTTTTTTTTTTTAATGTATTTGTGTCATGATTTTTTAGATACAGAAGAGCTGACTACATAATCATGACTGCCCAGGGTCCATACCCTGAGTTCTTTTTTCTTTTTCTATCTTTGTAGGTGGGCCTGAAGAGGACTTTAAAAAATCATTAGTCACCAGAAACCTGCCAGATGTGGTGGCACATGCCTGTAAGCCCACCACTCAGGAGACTGAGGCAGGAAGATTGCTACTTCAAAGCAATCTGAGCTATATAGGAAGACCCTGTCTCAAAAAAAAGTCATTCTTGTTCCAAATCTACTTCCAGCTTCTGCCTTACTGGACACATTCCCAACCCTTCCTTAACTTCTTTGCATTTCTGGGATGTTTTTGCTACCTTGACCTTGGAGAGTCCCTTCTCCACTCCTCCATTGGGTGTCTCAGTGTTTTACCTTCCATAGGCAGGGGAGGGAAGGAAGGAACATATTCATAGGACCCAGGGAGCCTGGGGTGGTGTACGGAGGAAGTGGGGACATAGAGTGTGAGTCACTTACAGGTGTTACAGGTACTCTTGGAATTCACCACCCAAATAGAGACTCCAGGTCAGACCTTTTCTTGGGCTGGTGGGTAGCTGTCCTCCTTCAGAGAGGCCCATTAACTGTTCTTGCTTCAAGGATTGACCTACTAGCTTCACTACACTGGAACCAACAAAGATCCAGTGTGCAGCCACTAAAAGACAACTCAAGAGTGCAGGTGGCAGTGTCACTGAGGATGCAAAATCAAGACTAGATTCCCTGATTAACTAGAAATGGACTTTATAGTGTCCAGTATTCTAGCCACACAAAATCTCTATATGGAGGACATTCCCGAATAAAGGAGAGGCTGCTAAATCCAGAATAAGGGAAGAAACTTCCAAAGACAGATCTTTGACAATCATAGTTGCTATGTGATCCCAGCTTGTTTCCCTTAATAGGAGCAAAATTACCCGCTTTCAAATCCTGACTCTTCTACTTGCTAGCTGTGTAACCTTAAACAAGACAGACAGCTATCAGTGTGCCTGTTTCCTCTTCTGTCAGGCATATATAATAGAGGTACCTCATGGAGATTGTATGAAAATCAGATGAATACTATTTCCAAATGCCTGTAGTGCATGCTCAGCTTGCTGTAAGGGCTCAGTAAACATGAGCTATACTGAAAACTTTTTGTTTCTTTGGATGCTGGGGATTGAATTCAGAAATTTTTAGCTATTTTTATTGACTCATCTTGTTCCTGCCTAAAAAGTCTACTATGCTTCTCTTTCAAAAGTTTCATCTGAAGCCAGGCACTGGTGGCTCATGTCTATAATCCTAGCTACTTGGGAGGTGAGATTGGGAGGATCATGGTTTGAAGGCCAGCCTCAGGCAAATAATTTGAGACCTCCAGCTCCAAAATAACCAGAGCAAAATGTACTTGAGGTGTAGCTCAAGCAGTAGAGTACCTGCTTTACAAGTGCAAAGTCCTGAATTTAAACCCCAGCCCCACCACCTACACACACACACACACACACACACACACACACACACACACACACGAAATTTGGAGGATTGGGGATGTAACTCAGTGGTAGATGGCTTGCCTAGCACAAATGAGTGCCTGGGTTTGAGTACCAGCACTGCAAAAATAAAGATCTTATTTTGCTTTCTTTTTTGAAACCTAACTTCCACTTAACTAAAATGCACAAGTCTTAGCTAAGTGTGATGGTTCATGCCTGTAATCCCAGCTACTTGGGAGGCTGAGGCAGGAGGAGTGGAAGTTTGAGGTCAGTCTGGAATACATAGCAAGAGCTTGTCTC